TGCCCGCCATTTCTGTGGCCCGGTGCCAAACGGCTGAAGGGAACCCCTGGTCTAAAGTCATGGGGGTTTTTTTGGGATGGAAAAACACAGGATGTTTTGTTTAAATCCTTGTCATCCTCTGCAGCGCTCTGGTGGCACTCAGGATCCAGCTGTTATCCTTATCCCAGTTATTTCCTTTTTTTTTTTAATTGAAAAGTTTTATAGGAAATACAAACATTTTCTCCCCCCCCACACCCTTCCCCCCTCAACCCCTCCCTCCCCCCACCCCCCTCCCTAGACTTCCCAGAACAAACACAGGGTATAGCATTCACAAACATAGAGCTAAAATATGCTAACAAATTATTGCATTCATATTCCCCCTAAGTCTTTAACTCCTTATAACTCAAAAAACTATAAACATGAACTACTTAAGAATATTTCATTCATAAGCTATACGTATCTTCTTGTTCGGGTACTTTTTTTGCATATAGTCAATCCATCTTCTCCATTCCGATATGCATCTTTCATTTGAACGGTCTTTAAGGTATGATGAAATTTTGGCCGTCTCTGCCAAATGCACAACTTTTAACGTCCATTCCTCAATGGTGGGTGGATCTTCCTTCTTCCAGTACTGGGCCACCAGTAACCTGGCAGCTGTTATTAAGTTCAAAACCAACTTAGTCTACTGCTATCCCAGTTATTTCCTGAAGCTCCTGGCCGGCACCCACCTGATTTGTGTGGTGGGTTTGCCCCCATTCGGTATCATTTTGCTGGCTGTGGGGAAGGGGGGGTGTGTCTCTCTCTAAGCTTGATTTTTTCCAAGCCGTTCCTGTACTCTGCAACTGAATAACAAGCGCTGGGCTCATTGATCGGTGTGCTATTTTGAGCACCGTTTTGATTTTGCAATAACGAATTGTAATTATTTTAGGTATTTAAAGCGGCTTCATTTTTTTTTTTTTTTTTTTACAGACATGACATTTGCTGCCTTTCAAAAGGCAGCTTTCCCAGGGTGGGGGTTCAATGGACTATAATCCCCCTTTCCTCATACTCTGAATGTTCCCTAAACTTCAGGGGTGCCGGATAAAGGAATGGCTGTGCTAGGGGGTGGCGAGCGATGGGACGGGGCTGCCACGAGGAATTGGAAGGAAGCCAACGGCGTGTTCGAGCACGTGGGGCAGGCCGTGGTTGCAAAACTCCTGGGCTGCTCAGGCAGGCCTTGGGCAAGCAAAGAAGTGGAGGCCCATTGCCGCATACGCAGAGAAGCGGTGGCAGCCCCGCGTGTCTCCGGTCTGTGACTGACGCGAGGGCCACCGCCCTGTTGCACCCGGGGCTCCGGGTTCCCTCTCCTGTCATCTCAGCTGGTGGGGCTGGTGACAGAAGAGGGCTGGGGCTTCCCTCCTAAGCGATGAGCAAAGCTGGGTGGGACGCTGCATAGGCCTTCCTGACGACGCTCCCGCCCCCAACGCTTCCTCTTTCCTGTTTCTCATCCTCTAGAGTTTGAACTCGCTAGCCCCCCCCGGGGGGAGGGGCTCCTGTTGGGAAGGGGCTGTCCGTGACAACCAGGGGTCCCCGCTGAGCAAATAGCCTGCCACCTTTGGCAGGGGTGTTGGATCCATGAAGGAGAGTTTGCCAAGGGAGGGGTGCCAGCTACCTTGGTGGCCCGGTGCTGTTGCCAAACAGCCCCTCCCTCCTCTGCCCCGGGGCATCCTCCTCTCCCCCACTTTCCCAAATAGCGCTCCCCAGTCCAGCCTTTCTCTGGGAGAGCCTCTACCAGTGTGGGGTTTCTTCCCCGTTTAGAAAGAAGATGGGGTGTTGGCACCCAGGTGACTTCTGGGGATTCACAATGCCTGTTGCCAGCTTTGGGGTGGGGGAGGGGGGAAGGAATCCCCCCTCCACCCCCAGTTGAGATGACCTAATTTGGGGGCTCTCTTTGGAAAGTCCTTTTGTGGGCCGGAAAGGACACATTGCAAAGCCTGACTGGCAAATTCCTCCCCTGTCTCATTCGTGAAATATTTTTGGCTCCGCTTGGATTGTCTTCACCCGGCCATACAGAGGCAGCTTCTGGGCGCTGGAAGGAGCCCGAGGAGGTTGCGCTGATGGGATCTCTCTGGCCCAGCCCAGCGATTCCCAGGAACTGGGAAAGGCGGCATGGGAACCATCTGGGCTCTTTCTTCCGCGGCTTCCCCGGGGGGCAGAGAAAGAAGGCGTGGGTCACGCCGGGGTTCAAACGTTTTGGAGGGAGGCCGTTTCGTCTGAGAGAAGCCCGGTAGCCCCGTGACTCAGCCCTTAATGGCTTCCTTGCAGACTGTTTACTCTTCTGGGACGGCTTTGGCTCTGGCCTCGCACATCCGGCCTGGCTGCTGCTGGACTGGGGAATGTGTGTGTGTGTGTGTGTGTGGTGGTGGGGAGTTACGTCTGAGCCAAGACTAGCCGGAACAGCCATCTGCCACGCAAGGGAGTGAACGGTTGGGGCTGCCTTGCTCAGCCTGGATGGGGAAGGTGAATCTCTCGCCACCACTCCTCCGCCTGCAAAGGAAATATATATATATATATATATTAATGCAGCGGCCTCTTGTGAGCCGGCCCCAAGGAGAAGCTAATGGATCTGCGGCCGGCGGTTTCTTGGCTTGGGCAGAAGGAGATGTCTGGGGTGGAGTGGGGGGGGGGAGGCTGCTGCTGCTAGGTCAGCATCTCTTGAGCATCTTGAGAGCCGCGACGGGCGGGATTGCTGCCAAGCCCTGCCTCTCTTATGGGATCGCTGGAATGCGCTGCAGTCGAGGAGCACTTAGAGAAAGGGGGAGCTGGGAGCCCCGGTGTTCCCCCCCCCCCCCCCTTGTCTTTATATCGGCTCCAAGGCTTTGGGATGGTGGAGAAGGAGAAGTTCAGGACGGCTACCCTTTGCGAAAGCACATTGGGGAAATTCACGCCCGTGTGGGGATTCATTGTCGAGGGAGAAGCAGTCAGAGTTAAGAGATCCGTTTCCTTTTTTTTTTTCTCCTTTTAATAACCTGATGGGGAGCCCTGATTTCCCATTAGCAAAATGCAGCGTTTGGCTCTTGTTCAAAACCAGCCGTGCTCCGTCGGAAAGATATAAATAAGACAGCCTGTCCATTTCTGTTTTCAAAGGTAAAAACGCTTAATAAAAATTATTTAAAAAAAAAAAAAAAAAAGACAGCTCTTCCATCGATACCTGTGAAGGTGGATGGTAAAACGCCCCCCCTCCCTCCCTTTAGGCCTCTATCTTCCTTGCGGGCATCCTTAAGCGGGAGGAACTGGGATGATGGCGGCTTCTTCCCTCCGACAGCCAGTGAGTTAACTGGGGTTGCTGGACCCATAATGGCTAAATCTTGTGAGGTTTACCAAGCATCCTTGCCAGTGGTGAAATCCAAATTTTTTTACTACCAGTTTTGTGGCCGTGGTTTGGTGGCCGTGGTGTGGCTTGGTGGCCGTGGCTTGGTGGGTGTGGCAGGGGAAGGATACTGTTAAATCTCCATCCCCCCCCCCACTCCAGGAGAAGGATACTGCAAAATCCCCATTCCCACCCCACTCTGGGACCAGCCAGAAGTGGTATTTGCCGGTTCTCCGAACTACTCAAAATTTCCGCTACCGGTTCTCCAGAACCTGCTGGATTTCACCCCTCATCCTTGGGATGCGGCTCGAAGGACCGACAGCTGGGGAGGCCGGACTTGGGCAGTGGCTGGGGTCCATTCCGTCCCTGAGCCGCTTCCCCCTGACCGAAGAGAAGGAAAAGACTGGAAAGGGCATCACGGCTGCGCATCCGGCCACATAACACGCCGAGTCACTGGACTTGGAAGTCTCACATCGCTCGGGCTAAAAACAAATTGCAAGGCCAGTAGTTTAGTCGGCCTATAAACAGCCGGTGGTGAAGAGCAAAGCTAGAAATACTTTTCTCCCCTGGACCACATTCTGCTCAAGCGAAGCAGATGCTTTATTAAGGATAGGAGAAAATGTAAAAATGGACCCGGCCAGCTTGTTCTGCAAAATGGCACTCGGGGCAGTGCGTGTGTGTGTGTGTGTGTGTATGTGTGAGTACCACCAGCACATTCAGAGGCGCCTGGGAAGGATTTGTGTGCAAAACAACACAGGCGCCACTATCGTCCTTCCTTTTCTCCTTGGGATGGAGCTGGGTTCCAAATGCAGCTGAACCTGTCGAGGCTTCGAGACAACGCTTCAGCAGAGACTTGGCTGAGGAAATCTACAGTGGCAGGGCTTCCTGGAGGGATCTCGGCCAGCCAGCGACAGTTTTTAGGCAGGGTTTAAAACCATGAAGGGGGTTGAAATAATCCCCCTGACATGTCTTGGGGTTGGCATGGTTCGATGGAACGAAAGTGGTAGTTGACGGACTGTGTAGCCCGAGGGTGTCAGACTTGATTTCATTGAGGGCCGCATCAGGGTTGTGTTTGACTTCGGGGGACCAGGATGGGCATGGCCAGCTTGGCGTCGGGGGCTCCTGTGGTGGCCCGAGTGCTCTGCCAGCGAAAATGGGCTCCTGAACTCTGTTTTCAGCTATGACGGCATCCTGTAATCCTCTGCCAGTGAAAATGGAGCTGAGGCCCTCCCGAGCTCCATTTTTGCTGGTGGAAGCACCACGGGCCAGTCCTTCGCTGTTTCCAGGGTGGTCCCGTGGTCCAGATCTAAGCACCCCACGGGCCAGATCCGGCCCCCAGGCGTTGAATTTGACACCCCTGGTCCCGCCAATTTGGCATTTTGGTTTTAATTCGAAGGCGAAACACGAACTCTGCTGAGAATCCCTGTCCACGACGGAAAATCGGTTCCTTTGCATCTGAAATCCAATTTCAGAATTGGGGATCAAGCTCCCCACCCCCAACCCCCCAAAAAAGATGGGTTTGAGTTTTGAGTGAGAGAAAGAAGGACACTGAACCAGAAAAACTTAAATGACCGTTGATGTATTTGGGTATTTGTGAGCGCCAAAAAACCTCCTCCGTTCAAGCCCCACTGTAGGCCACGTCTCCTCATCTTGCTCATCGCTTCTCTTTCAGATGGCAAGAGGAAGTGACCAAGCGGATGCGGTTGGAATCGATGGTGGAGACGCTGCAAGAGGTACAGCTTCCTCCCCTCCCCTCCGCCGTCAAGGCATTGACGGGTAACACGTTGGTTTAGCTGATCGCCAAGACTGGTACACACACACACACACCCCAGGATGTTTGCATGAGCCAATCTCTGGCGCTGAAGCCTGTTCCCTCTGTGAATAAGGAAATCAACAGAGCCCCCTGAATAGTGAACCCTGTGGGTCTGCTAGGCCTCGACTGGGGCATCAGGGAGCAAATCAGCTGCAGCCATCGTAGACCAGCCTTCCTGGCCCTGACCAGGACCTGGTAGCCATTCCTCTTCCTCAGAGGTCTCCAAACTTGGCAACTTTTAAAGACTTCCTGAGCCAGGCATGCTGGGAGGAGTCGAAATCCACAAGTCTTAAAAGTTGCCAAGTTTGGAGACCCCTTGCTCTTCTGGATGGCTCTTCTGCACTGAAAGCAGAGCAGCCCCAGGCCGCCTCCTGGAGCAGGCAGAGGGCTGGGTGGAAAAACAGGGAGGCATTGCTGCCCTAGTCTCGGCCTTGTCTCTCCTAAGGAATCCCCAGAGGGAGTAGGAAAAACGGGGGCTGACCCATTGCAGATTGAAAGCAGGTCTGTTGTCAGCAACGATGGGCAGGAAGGTGGGCTGGCCCTCCTAAATATAAAGGAGAAATCCATGGGGCCTGGCACACCCCAAAATTGGTGACCAAGTGGGGAATGGGTGGAGAGAAACTTGCACGCTCTGCCTCGAGTAAGCCTGTGGGGGTTCAGTGGGGCCAAGATTAGTCTTCAGTGTAACCGTGTGGGTCTCTCATTCCTGCGTTTGCATCTTCCATGCGGGGGGTGTCTCTCCTTCCTCCCTTTAGGAGGCGCAAGAAGCCGAAGCTCTCCAGGAGGAGCTAAATGAGAAGATCGAGAGGCTCAAAGCCGAACTGGTGGTCTTCAAGGGTCTGATGAGCGACGTAAGTACCCCAGGCGGCCGTGTCGGTTGAAGCCGAACAGCCATTTTCTCGCCGCCACCACCGAAGGACAGAAAGGGACAAGTTGGCTGAGGGCTGCTTGTAGTTAGACCACCCGCCTGGTATGACCCAATGCATCGCACCAGCCCGCTCGCCCTCCTCGTCCTGCTTCCCCTCCGATTGGTGTCGATGCATTAACTTGCTGCTCCCCCCTCCCACAGCACCTCGATGTCTCAAAAACGCCCCTCCCCCGCGGCTGGCCAGGCAGTGCTGGGCCCGAGGGGTGGCCTCTGAAAGCATGGCATTCGGAGGACAAGGGGTGTCCCTCACAAGGCTGATGTGCTCCCCGCCCCTGCACTCAGTTGACTGCCTGCTTCTCATGCTGCCCCTTGCAGGGATGACTCGGGGGGGGGGGGGGGGGAGTCCAGATTACAGATACGACGTTCCCCTTTCTCGTGTGTTCCAAGGGGTTCCAAGCATGTTGGAGTTTTCTTTTGGGCATGTTGTGTATAGTTCCCTTTCGCTTTAGGGGGAGCCATGTTTGAGGGACGCGGTGGCTCAGTGGCTAAGACGCTGAGCTTGTGGATCGAAAGGTCGGCAGTTGAGCGGTTCGAATCCCTAGTGCTGCCTAACGGGGGCGAGCTCCTGTGACTTGTCCCAGCTTCTGCCAACCTAGCAGTTCGAAAGCACGTAAAAAAAAAAAATGCAACTAGAAAAACAGGGACCACCTTTGGTGGGAAGGGAACAGCGTTCCGTGCGCCTTTGGCGTTGAGTCATGCCAGCCACATGACCACAGAGACGTCTTCGGACAGCGCTGGCTCTTTGGCTTTGAAACGGAGATGAGCACCGCCCCCTAGAGTCGGGAACGACTAGCACATATGAGAACGCAGGCTTAGAAAACTACTTTGGATGGTTTCGAGCATTGGTTTCTGTTTTTGAACACCCCCACCACCACCCCGGTTGCTTAGTCTGTCTTCCGGCGTTGTTTTTGAAAACCAGATACCCAACAGGCGAGATATCGAAGGTGTGACCCTTACTTACCCGAAGCAGAATGGCAGACTTCCTTCTTTGTGTGCTGCACACAGATTTGGGTCTCGCTGAATCTGCCTCTCCCCACCTTTCTTTGTTAGCTTTGATTCCAAGACTCTTTGCTCTCGGAGAGTGAAGGAGAAGAGGCGTATCGGTGACAGGTTTGCTAACATTGTCCGTGGAGATACTCAATCCTCCAGGCCATAGTTGTCCCAAACTTTTCTTGGTTGTTTTTTCGTCCTTGAAAACGTTTCGCTTCTCATCCAAGACCCTTCCTCAGTTCTGATTTTGAACTGAGAGTCAGAATTGAAGAAACTTCTTGGGTGAGAAGAGAAACATTTTCAAGGGGGGAAAAAAAACCAAGGAAATTTTTCCAGTTGCCTTTTGTAAAAGCACCTTTTATTTATTTATTTATTTAATTTGTATACCGCCCTTCTCCAACAGGACTCAGGGCGGTGAACAGCCATGGTAAAACATAACATATAAAATTTAAAAGCAGTTAAAAAAAAACATTAAATAATTTTGGCTATCCATTTAAAACAACCCGGGTTAAAACCAATTACAAATTAAAATCGAAGGGATGGGATCAAGCCAGCCCGGCTAGATGAAATAGATGTGTTTTCAGGGCCTGACGAAAAATCCAGAGGTCTGGTATCGTGCGTATCTCTGGGGTTAGGTCGTTCCAGAGGGTAGGTGCCGACACAGAGAAGGCTCTCCCCCTGGGGGTCGCCAGCCGACATTGTCTGGCCGACGGCACCCTGAGGACGCCCTCTCTGTGGGAGTGTACTGGCCGGTGGGAGGCTATTGGCGGCAGAAGGCGGTCTCGTAAATACCCAGGTCCTATGCCATGGAGCACTTTAAAGGTGGTCACCAACACCTTGAAGCGCACCCTGAAGACCACAGGAAGCCAGTGCAGCTCACGCAGGAGAGGTTTCACATGGGAGCGCCCCCTCGCTCCCATAATCCCCCGCGCGGCCACATTCTGGACCAACTGGAGCGTCAGGGTGCACCCCAAGGGGAGCCCCATGTAGAGAGCATTGCAGTAGTCCAGACGGGAAGTGACGAGTGCTTGAGTGACCGTGCGTAGGGAGTCCCGATCAGGAAAGGGACGCAACTGGCGTATCAGGCGAACCTGATAAAAAGCCCCCCTGGCCACAGCCGTCACATGATCTTCTAAAGACAGCTGTGTATCCAGGAGGACGCCCAAGTTGCGAGCCCTTTCCATGGGGGCCAATGATTCGCCCCCAATAACTAGCGATGGCACCAGCTGGCTATATCAGGACGCTGGAAGCCACTTGGGTTGAGATAGCTACCGTGTTTCCTCGAAAATTAGACTCTCTTATATTTTTTTTGAACCCTGAAATAAGTGCTTGGCCTTATTGCCATGCGCTCAAAAGCCCGATTGGGTTTATTATCGGGGGATGTCTTTATTTTGGGGAAAACAGGGGAGGTAAAGGGGGAGGTCTCCTTCTTTCCCAGCAGATTGGCGCGTTTCCTCGGTGGACTTTTGTGTGTCGGATAGTCCCTGTATCCCACAGAGAGGTCTCTCTCTCTCCCCTCTCCCCCCTCCCCCGGGAAAGTCCCCAGCAGCTTCCTGAGATGCTCCCGTTCGAGGGGAACGTTTGGTACGCATTCCGTGATGCTCCTTCCCTAAGCGGGACATTTGTGGTGCTCGGGGAAAGAGGCCGGCCTGATCTGCGGAGGTCCATCCTTCCGAGTGTCTTTAACTCTTCCGAAGGTTTGTAATTCCCCCCCCTCCCTGCTGTCCTTCCCGCAGCCCATGACCGACCTGGACACAAAGATCCAAGAGAAAGCCATGAAAGTGGACATGGACATCTGCCGGCGTATTGATATCACAGCCAAGCTGTGCGATGTAGCACAGCAGCGCAACTCGGAAGACGTTTCCAAGATATTCCAGGTGATCCAGCTGGAGAAGATGGCTGTGTTGGTTAGGGAGAGGAGGAGAAGAGAAGAGAAGCAGGAGTGGAGCCGGGGAGGCAACGGATAAACCTCCCTGGAACCCACTCTCCTCCCCTCCTTCCCTCCCGAGGGGTCAGAAGACCCTCCCAAGATGCCAAGGAGGAGTCATGTAGCTGTCAGGAGGCCCCACTTGGAGGGACCCACCCGTTTTTCTAGGTCTCTGGCTAGTGGACGTGGGATTAAACCAGCCAAGCACTTGGCTGCCTTCAGGGAAAGCCTGCGAGCCGGGAGTGGCTGCCCCAAGCCACTCGTTTGCTCCAAGGCTGAGTCTCACCACCACCAGCCCCAATGGCCCCTGACTTCTAGGCCCTCAGGGGCAGTCCCAAAATGGCACTCAGGCCCCCTCGCTTGGTCTTTTGACGGTCGTGAATGAATCTCCTTTTCATTCTCTGGTGTCTGGCACTAACCGCCGGTGTGCGTGTGTGTGTGTGTATTTCCAGTCTCTTTTTTTCTGACTTCCATTCTGCGTATCCCCTTTTCCTGGCCTGATTTAGTGCTGCCGCTTGACGGACATACTCATAGGGTGGGCTTCTACCCCAAGGCTGAGAAGACCCTTCCTGCCAGATCCTCTCGCTCTGCAGCTTCCCGCTCTGAGCACCTCCAGCTGCTTCAGCGTCCGTCTCCCCTCCCCCCCCCTTTTAGGCCTGCGCATGGCTGGCCGAGTTGCTGAGGCTGCCCGTGGCTTGCTTCTGCTGCGCGCCTCCTCCTCCTCTTCCTCCTTCCACCCCCCTGATTTCCTTGTGGCCTGTGACTTTTTTAACACCTCTCTGTGTGGCTTGTGCGCCCCAGTCCCAGGGAGAGCCGGGGAGTTTTCTTCCCTTGCAGAGAGCCCTCATCGTGTCTTCCCTGCGCCTCTCGCGGCGCAGCAGCTCAGCCTGGCCTCGTAGTGACGGCCCTTCTCTCCGATTAAGGTGGCCTCCAAGAAGAAGGAGCGCCGGTTCACGTCGGAAGAAGACGTGGCCGAGCCGGACACGGACAACGCCCGCTTCTCGGAGGAGGACGTCAGCTGCTCTCTGAACATCACCGACGAAATGAAGAGGATGTTCAATCAGTTGTGAGTACCTGAGCCCACCTGGGCTCTGCCCAGGCTCTTCCGTTAAGGCTTTGCTTTCAGGGTGGGGTCCTCAGAAGCAGGCGTCTCCCCCCCAGGGGTGGTATTCACTTACCTAAGCTACCGGTTTGCAAATGTGACCGCGTGGGCCTTCTGCGCATGGGCAGAGCATTAAAAAACTGGATAAATGGGACATAATGACCTCCGGGCGGAGCCTCCCGTAGCCGTCTCAACCGGTTTGCCCGAACCGGATAAAACCAGCCGAATACCACCATTGTCTCCGGCCCAATAAACTTGGGGCTGTGCAATTTTCAGGAAGGCTGGTCCCAAAACCCCAGGCTGGCTCTGACCCAGGAGAGGCTCTCTTGTCATAGCAGCCAGGAAGTGAGCTCCCCTCCTGTTCTTCTTCTTCTTCCCTAAGTAAAAGAATGCTGAGTTTTCAAGGCCAGCTTAGCTTGCAAGGGGTGGGGGAGGGGGTGCTTTGATTTTTCTGTAAGTGGGAGGACTTGAAAAGCTTTGAGCACCCCAACCCAGTTGGGAAATCTCACCCGGCCATGACCCGACACTCTTTGTCCTAAGGTTAGGGCTGACCTCAACTTCCTGCCTTCTGGCTGCTGGGAAGGCAGTGAGCTCAGAAGGCAGATATCTCTCCCAGAGAAAGCGAGGAGGGGCAGTGCAGCCCTCTTCAGCATGGGAAGGAGGGAGGGAGGAAGGAAGGAAGGGGAAAGTAGGAAAAGGAAGGCAGAAGCAAGATTTAAGGGGAAGGAAGGAAGGAAAAGGGAGAGAGGCAGGGAGGGAGGAAAAGCTTGAAAATAGTAGAAGGAAGATTGAGGGGAAGGAAGGAAGAGGAAAGTAGGAAAAGGAAGAAAGACGTAAGATTGAGGGGAAGGAAGGAAGGGGAAAGTAGGAAAAGGAAGGCAGAAGCAAGATTAAGGGGAAGGAAGGGAGGAAAAGGGAGGGAGGAAGGAAAAGATTGAAAGACGAAGAAGGAAGATTGAGGGGAAGGAAGGGGAAAGTAGGAAAAGGAAGAAAGAAGGAAGATTGAGGGGAAGGAAGGAAGGGGAAAGTAGGAAAAGGAAGAAAGAAGGAAGATTGAGGGGAAGGAAGGGAGGAAAAGGGAGGGAGGAAGGAAAAGATTGAAAGAAGAAGGAAGATTGAGGGGAAGAAAGGAAGGGGAAAGTAGGAAAAGGAAGAAAGAAAAGATTGAGGGGAAGGAAGGAAGGGGAAAGTAGGAAAAGGAAGAAAGGAAGGAAGGAAGGAAGGGGAAAGTAGGAAAAGGAAGGAAGGAAAGAAGGAAAGAAAGAAAAGGACTAAAGTAGCAAACCCAGGCAAAGCCCTGTTCCTTTGGGCTGTCAGTGGGGGGCGGGCAGGATGCCCTTTGATTCGGGCACGGCAGCTAGAACCGAGAAGGCAGGACTGTTGGTTAGCACAGAGCGCCCCCTGGAGGGCTACATTCTTGAAGCAGGGCCAGCCTGTTGAGCGACGGAAGGAAAGACAGGTGGGAGGGAGGGAGGGAGAGAGAGAGGGAGGCCGGAAAGAGCTTGGACCCAGAAGTCCGTCTCCGCTAGTGCTAGCAAGGCCCGGTAAACCGAGTTGTAACCTAGAGACGCATCTCCAAGCAGGCGGGAGAACTTCGATTTTGATGACGACTGCGACAGCTTGACTTGGGAGGAAAACGAAGACACCCTCCTCCTGTGGGAAGACTTTACCAACTGCAACCCGACCGTGGAGCTCCAAGGAGAGGTGAGTGGTGCCCCAGCTCACCTGTCCCCCCTCCTGCCCCCCCTCCTTCTGGCTCCCTGCATCTGCCATCCAAGCACTGGACTCGACCGAACTGCTTTTATTCAGGGCCCACTTTCCATTGAAGAACTGCTGTTTAATCAGGTCACAAAAATGGAAGCCATATGCTCCGTGCCATAATTGGGTAGACCAGGTTGCCCTGATTAAAAAAAAACCCCACTTAATCTTTCCCACAAAGGCAGGCAAGCCCGTGGCTTAGAGGTTAATTATTGTTAGTTGCGAAGTCGTGTCCGACCCATCACGACCCCATGGACAACGTTCCTCCAGGCCTTCCTGTCCTCTGCCATCCTCTGGAGTCCATTTAAACTCCTGCTGACTACTTCAGTGACTCCATCCAGCCACCTCGTTCTCTGCCGTCCCCTTCTTCTTTTGCCCTCCATCGTTCCCAGCATTAGGCTCTTCTCCAGGGAGTCCTTCCTTCTCATTAGGTGGCCAAAGGATTTGAGTTTCCTCTTCAGGATCTTGGCCTTCCAAAGAGCAGTCAGGGTTGATCTCCTCTAGGACTGACCGGCTGGATCGCCTTGCAGTCCAAGGGACTCACAGGAGTCTTCTCCAGCACCAGAGTTGAAAGGCCTCCATTCTGTGGCCCTCAACCTTCCTTATGGTCCAACTTTCACAGCCAGACATTGCAACTGAGGTTAATACATCTACCTAATATGCAAGTAGCCCAGGTTCGAATCCCAGAAGGGTATAGCTAGCTGATGAGAGCTAAATAGATCTATACTAGTCTCCCTTTTATTTCGTTTATGTCGGTAAAACATAAATTTAACACAAATTGGGTCACGTGTTTAAATATGAACCTCACTTCCCCCAACAGACCCGATGCCTGTTTTAATTTGAGCTCTGCTTCCTTACCTAACTGTTAGGTCAAAGCCAAGCCAAACTCACAGTGGCTCAGCAACTTTTCAGGTTTAAGCTTATGGCTTAATTAGGCATTTCGAGAGGCCGGCTAAGAAAGAGTCCCATTTGCTAGACCTGAAGGTAGCAATGTTGAGAGGGATAGAAATAGAATAGAATAGAATAGAATAGAATAGAATAGAATAGAATAGAATAGAATAGAATAGAATAGAATAGAATAGAACAGAACAGAACAGAACAGAACAGAACAGAACAGAACAGAACAGAACAGAACAGAACAGAGAGATGGAATGGAATGGAATGGAATGGAATGGAATAGAACAGAACAGAACAGAACAGAACAGAACAGAACAGAACAGAGGAATGGAATGGAATGGAATGGAATGGAATGGAATGGAATGGAATGGAATAGAATAGAATAGAATAGAATAGAATAGAATAGAATAGAATAGAATAGAATAGAATAGAATAGAATAGAATAGAATAGAATAGAATAGAATAGAATTCTTTATTGGCCAAGTGTGATTGGACCCAGAAGGAATTTGTCTTGGTGCGTACGCTCTCAGTGTACATAAAAAGAGAAGATACGTTCATCAAGAGTCATAAGGTACAACACTTAATGATAGTTATAGGGAAACAGTCAATATAAATTGTAAGGATACCAGCAACAAGGTTACAGTCATAAGTGGGAGGAGATGGGTGATGGGAACGATGAGAAGATTAATAGTAGTGCAGACTTAGTAACTGGTTCGACTAGTAACTAGTTAGGGCCAGGTTTGGTGCCTGTCCCTCCTGAGAAGGGCCGGCGTCTGCCTTCTGAAAAGGTTTCATGCAGGCTTCGGAGCCCAAGAAAGCAGCAGAGGGGAGCGGATGGCGAAGCCTGCCCAGAACCCCCCTCGGAGACCTGGGCTGCCGGAGACACCCCCCCCCCCGGTGAGTGGGCCTCGCTCACCTGCCTCTCGCCTAAGGCTGCCCCCTTGGTGTGTCTTTCAGCAAGAGGAGAACCTGGGGAACTTGATCCATGAGACAGAATCTTTCTTCAAAACCCGAGACAAAGAATATCAAGAAACGATAGGACAGATCGAGGTAAAGATAAAACGGTGGCACTTGGCCCAGCCGGGGGGTGGGTGGCGGGGAAGGAAGGCAGCAGCTCTCCACCCACCCCGAGCCTTCTCTGCTGTAGGGTGGGAATGGAACCAAGGAGCATCCCTCAAAACAATATGTGGTATCAACGCTCCTTAACAGCCCAAGTCCACTAGGGTTGCCGGGGTTGCCCAAGGACTGTTCAGCAAAGGCCCTTACGGAGGGGCAGGGGGCCCAGGGCTTAACCCCCTTTCCTTCTGTCCCCTCCCCTCTCCACAGCTGGAACTGGCCACTGCCAAAAGCGACATGAACCGCCACCTTCACGAGTACATGGAGATGTGCAGCATGAAACGGGGCCTGGACGTCCAGATGGAGACCTGCCGGCGGCTAATCAAAGGCTCCGCGGAAAGGTGAGGCAGGAAGAGGCGGGCACTGCCCTGCTTTCACCAAGAAACACCTCCCCCTCTGGCGGATATGGGAGGCAGCAGAAAGAGGCTGGTCTCAAGTGTCCTGCACCAGTTTTTTTGGGGGGGAACGGACCGAGTTAAGGTTCAGATCTGATCCTGCCTTTTGTCTTCCTCCCTCCAGAAATTCCCCATCGCCCAGCTCGCTCGCCAGCAGCGACTCGGGAAACACGGATGAGATTCAAGACGACTTTGACAGAGAAGCAGATGTGGAGCCCATGGTCAGCTGATGAACACCCGGAGCGTGGGGCGCAGGGGTTTTGGGGGGTGGGTGGGTTTGGCGGGACAGGGAGAACAGAAAACTTTAAAAAGGGGAAAAAAAAAAACTGGACAAAAGTTGAAACCTTGCAGCATGGGTGATCTAGGACTTTTGCGTCCTCGGCCGGCGTTCCCGGAGGCTCGGCCTCCCGCGTCATCTCAGGATTGGTGCTGTGAAAACTTTTGTACTGTTCCGTCAACGACAAATGTGACAAAAACAAACAAAAAACCACTGCAGTTTTACCTGTGCCTTCGCCCCCAGGCTGTGGGCCCAACCGAGCTCCTACGGCACGTCCACCTGCTTCGGACAGACGGCAAGCTCCTGGGGAAGGGTGCCTCTGGCGTGTGTGGGTGGGAACTTCAGAGGCTCCAGGCCCAAGGTCCGTCCTTTGGCTGCCCAGGGTGGCCAACCCAGAGAGCCTGGGAGGGTAAGGCCAGAGCCAGGGCAAGGCCAGAAGGACCACAGGGTGAGAAGGTCGCAGTTTTTAACTACTATGCAAAACAAAAAAACAAAAAAAAGCAAAAGTGCTTTGCTTGCCTTATTTCCGCAGCACGTTTGGGCCTCTGCTGGGCTCGGGTTCCTCTCCCGAGTGCCCTGGCGGTTTGGCACCCCTGGTCTGGGAGGGGGTGTGGCTTGTCCGGTTCTGCTTTGTGAAGGTCTCTCTGCCGCCTTGGCATGGGTGGAGGGCTGTGTCTGTGTTTTTTCTGCTGCTTCCCCGAGTGCCGGGCGCGTGTTCCTGGGCTCGGGGGCTTCAAGAGATGAGGAGGGAAGCCATGGGTGGGTGCCCGCAGGCTGGGGAGCCCCCCCTCCCCCAATTCAGGACTCTGGCAGCTGCCTGGCACCCGAGATGCCCTCGTGTGTTTCCGTTCCATTGACGCTAAGTATTCTCTGGGGAGGAAAGGTGTGTGTGTGTGTGTGTACGTACCATTTAGGAGATTTTTAGGAGATACCATTTTGGCACGCAACTGGAAAGGGAAGCAATGCCCTCTCTTAACCCCCCTCCCCTTTTTCTTTCACTGTCTCTTGCGGCATCCGACCGGCTGGCCAATTAATTGCTTGGCGTCTGTGGGCGGCTGGCTTTTGGTGTGAATGGTGGCAGAAGGAGGGTCGGTTGGGGAGACCCTCATCCACACCCAAGGCCAGCTGGCAGCCCCCTTCCAACTGAGCCCACTCCTCTTGTTCTGTGCTGATACCTGTTCAAGAAGGAGGGGTGTGGTTTCTGTCTTGGGGGAGAGAGAGAGAGAGACAGAGACACCCCTTTGGTGATGGGCAGCTTAAGGGTACTTCCCACCCCTCACAAAACCTTCACACACACACCCCTCAGTTCCTTGAACGTTTTTAAACCCTTCACTATTTTTCCCCCCTAGCCAAAGTTGCATCCTTTTCATTTCTTAAAAGCCAACCTCCCCCCTACCACTATTACTGTTTTTAATTATTTTTGTTTGTGTGGTTGCAAGGGTCGATACTGTACTCGGTACTTCCGTAAAAAGCCTGCCTCGAGGTCACTGAGCCGGGAGTGTAATTTGGGCCGCTTTAATTGGCGGCTTTGGCGAAAGACCTGAATTACCGTACTTACTTACGCCTCTCCCAGCTTTTGCCCTCTTGAACATCTGTCGGATTTCACAGTTATTTAGCTGCCCGGTGGTTACCGTCGCCGCAAAAAAATCTGACCGCTTGCGGATTCTTTCTCTCTCTCTCTCCCCCCCCTGTTTCCTTGTTGCTCGATCGTGCCTGTTATTGTTTTACTTCTGAACGCACAAGCCTGGTTTGTATGTAAGCTTTTAAACTGATCACGTGTGAATAAGGGGGTCGGAGGAGGTGAGCACGGCCCTTGCTGGGTTGGTGGGGGAGAAGGTTTCCTCGGTGAGGAAGGGACTGTCCTTTGGCGTAGGGGGACGCAAGGACAGTTCATTCTAGCTGGAACAAGGTGGCCCCTGCATCACTATCCATGGAGGAGGGTGCCCCCCCCCCAAAAAATTAAGACGGCGGCTGCACAATCCAATCCTCACCCCCTCTTTTACCCGCATGGGGTGGAGAACATGTCCAGCCTCCGTCTTGGCTCTTTTTGAATGGCGTGGGCACTCGTCACAGAGAAGTTGTGGGTTTTTTTGTTTGTAGGTGTCGAAGGGAAATGGGGGAAAAAATGGGGATAAAGTTAGGACGATACGGGATGGTTAATGGTAAAGGCAGCGATCACCAATATTATATTCAGGCTGTCATTAAGGGGTTGTGGTTTTTTTGTGTGTGTTTGTTTTCACTGCTTGGAAACTCGGGGAGACTGCCCCAAGCAAGACGTAATTGTGGTCAGTTAAATGTCCACCATGGCTTCACTCGGGGCGCGTTGGCGTAGACGGTGCTGACACAGCAGGCAGGCAGGGAGTGTGTTAAGGGTCTCTGCGGGCGATTTTGGAAAAGGGGGGGACAAAAATAATAATATTGGTGGGGGGCTGCAGGGCCTACTTTCAATTCCTTCCTTTCTCTCTCCCCTCCTTCCCCTTTCCGTATGGCTGTAAATACTTTCTTTTTGTATTCCTAAGGCCGTGTCCAAGCGACACTTTTTAACGACTTTAACCAATCTCTCGTGGGTTTTTAAAGGCAGGTGGGGGGGAGGAGGGAGGGTGGAAGCTAACAATTTTCCTTCGCTTGTTAGCCAGGGCGATGATGGCGGTCCGTCCCAATTCCTAAGCAAACTGGGTTTGTACAAAATTTGGGCCGAAGCCTTTGCCGACTTCGTCGAATGCATGGTGTTTAAAAGGAAGGGGGAGGGGAAAAAAAAAAAGAATAAAATGTCCAAAGAAACCGTGTCTCGTTTCCAGGATTGTATAATTTAATTGTAGCTCAAGCCATGATGAGGACGCAAGTCCCGTTTCTGAAATTTTTAAGCCTCCTGAGTCCTGTGATATTCCCTAAACTGAGATCACCTATTCCCGTGATGGCGAACCTATGGCACGCGTGCCAGAGGTTGCACACAGAGCCCTCTCTGTGGGTACATGTGCTGTCTCCAGCTGCTTTTCTGGTTTCCAGTGCACATGCTGGTCTTCACGGGCGCCCGAGTGCCTGAAAACGGCCCAAAAAATGCCCCCAAACCAGGCCATTTTTCAGGCCATTTTCTGGCTGTTTTTTTGGGCTGTTTTCAGGCCCTTTTTGGCTTGAAAAACGGCCCTAAAAATGGCCAAAAACACGTGTGCGCCGGCCAGCTGGTTTTTGGGTTTCCAGCACTCCGGAGGCGCACATGAATGTGCGTTCTGGTTTGGGCACTCGGTGCCGAAAAGGTTCGCCATCACTGACCTATTCCTTAAAATCAGTCATCACATACCTTTGTCCATTGCACAGCACGCAAGGGAAATGATTTGGGAAGCGGAGACTCCGTCCTCCCCTCCTGGATCCAGGACGTCTCCCCAAAAAAGTCCAGTGGTCCAGGGGAAAATGACTCAAAAGCCAAATTCAGCCTTGTCACCCCTTGGGAAATGGCGTAGCGGAACGGAGCGGTTTGTGGAATCTTACTTTAGGCTGGGATAAGTCGACATTTTCTGCAGAGCTGCTTTTAAGACCAAAAACGGTGTTTTTATCATTTTAAAACGGAGGCGGGCTGGGATTTCCACGGTTTTTTTTGGGGTGGGGCGCGTGCGAAGGAACGAAGGTGGGGGAAGGAAGAGGAGGACGATTCAAGAGCAATAGTTTTGTCACCCCCCCCCAAACCTTATTCCACTTTCTCGAGGTCGCCCGAGTCGTCTTTGATAATTATAAAAAAGCCAAACTGTTCGGAATGGAAATGTTTACGGTGTTGTACATATTGTGCTTTCTATTCTGTATATCGGTCTGTTTTCAAGGGGAGGGGGGGCTTTGGGGGAGGGGGGTAACCAGAGGTCATGTATTTGTGCACTTGCCAGGAGAACCGTTTGTTGTTAAAGCTTGCTCCAAAGGGGGGGTGTGTGGGTGGTGGTTTTTCCCCTTTTTCCCTCCCACCTTAAAATTTGAGAAATTGGGACTTCTCTAGGACCCTTCTAGGTAGTGGGTTTCCACAAGCCCCCTCCCCACTCACCCCCTCACCCCTCTCACCTGTGCCAAACCTTCCATACGCATTGAGCCAACCTGTCCCCTCCCACCCCCAACGTGTGACACGCTCACTCCCTGTTCCACATTGGGATAATCCCCCCCCCCCCCAAAAAAAGTTGCCCTCTCGAAGAAGGGACTTCTGTGGTCGGATCCTCCTTTAACCTCCTCTCTCTCTCTCTCCTCCCCCCCCTCCGGATTCTCCGTTAAGAAGGGTGGTGGGGTTTCTCTCTGGTCGCCCCCTCTGGGGGGTTTCATATGGACAATGTACCAAACGGGTTTGTCTGCGAATCAGGGATGTTCTCGAAGCTTCTCGGTGGGGCTGGGAAAACGGGGTACAGTGGTGGTTGGGGTTTTTTTTTTTGTTTCGGAAGAAGAAACCCCCCCTGACAATAAATGCCAAAATTTCTGGTTACTAAAGTTTCGTGTGAGTCTCTTTTCTTTCAGTCACAGAGTCGGAAGGGACCTTGGAGGTCATCTAGTCCAACCCTCTGCTCAGGGGATTCGAACCGCCGAAGTGCCGGCCTTTCTGATCGACAAGCTCTCAGCATCTTAGCCACTGAGCCCACCTAGTCAAATATCCCTCCCCAGTGTAAACCCTCCCTCCCTAGGCGATCAGGCTCGTGGGGCCCAGTGCCAGTGGTCAGGAGTGCCAGTCTTCCCCAACGGGCATTGCCCAATCCCTGCCCCTTGTCCCCCAGGGGCAGCCTGGCGGCCTCGTTTTGCACCAAGTGCCACCAGCTCTTCATATTTCCCCACCCCACCATCGCAAATCAGCACAGACGACACAACGTCCCTGTAGGGTAGGACACCCTGTGCCAAGCGGGCAGAAACCTGGGCACCAGCTGGGTTTTACGCCAGCCTATTGTTGGGCTTTGAGTCAGTGCCCAACATTGGTTCTTTGGGGGACAGATGATACCGATGGCTGCCCACTTGCAAAGTTCTACTCGCACACACCCCCTGCGAGGTAGGCTGGCACGAATGGGGCATCAGTCGCCTCCCCCTCCTAAGTTGCACTCCCCGCCTCCTTAGGGGGCAACGTCCACAGGGCACAATTCCCCACCCTTAAGAGTAATGGGAGTTCTTGTTCTTGCAAAAAAAAAAAAAGATGGGAGTTGTAGTCCTAGTCTCTCCTCTTTCTTCCCCCGCCCGTTCAATTGCGCAACTTTTCTTGGGGGAGGAGGCGGGGTGAGGAGGAGGAGGAGAAGCCCCAGCGCGGCTTCTGATTGGTGCTCCCCAGGGCGCCTTCGGATTGGCTGCCTTGCTTTCCCGCCCCTTTCCCTGGAACGCGAGGGACTCGTCCATTCGCGACGCCCGAGAGGGGTGTGTTTGTGTGTGTGTTGTTCCTTGCCTGCCCTGTACTTTGGAAGACGCTTCCCGAAAGTTTACAAATAAATATATGTACTGTATATATATAAAACGGGATAATCGTGCCCTTTCTTGCGGAAGGAGCGTTCTCGACCAAAAAAAAAATAAAAAATCCCCCCCTTTTCTCGCCCGAGGAATGGTTCGGCCCGACCGGCGGCACGCGCCGCCCGGCATCGCCGCCTTCCATCTCTTCCCTCAGGATCGGGCGGGGATCGTAGGATGGCGTTGCGGCTGCCTCTCCTTCGCCGGCCGGGCTCCCTCCGCGGGCTGAGGTGAATCACTCTCTCCCTCTCTCTCTTTGGGAATGGGGGGGGCGGGTTTCCTGAGGGACTCCCACTCCCATCCTCCACAGCCGGACCCCCCCTGGGGCGCTTCTACGCCGGGGAGGATGGGGGTCAGGCGCTTCTTGGGAGGGGTTAATTAGGGGGGGAGAGGAGGCACTCAATGCCGTCACTGGGCCTCTTGGGGGAGGGGGAGGGGCGCCTCAGGGGATGGGCTCCACCCCCCCCCCTCCCCCCCCCCCCCCCCCTTTTTGGAAATAATTCATAATTCTTTTAGGAAATAATTCCTTCCCCCTCCCCCCCTTTGGAAGTCTCCCTATGGTTGGTAGCCTTTCATGCTGGTGCTATGAATGATTATTCTAAGGACGATGCCTTCTTGTGCCAGGTTCACTGCCACTGCTGCATTAATATGATTGATCCTCATGATAATAATAATAATAACAGTAAGAATAGTAATAAAAATAGTAAGAAAGACAGTAAGAATAGTAACAATCAATAATCTAATAATAGGAATAATCAATAGTCTAATAATAGCAATCAATAACCTAATAATAGGAATAATAATCTAATAGTAATAATCAATCTAATAATAGTAATAATCAATAATCTAATAGTAATAATAACCTAACAGTAGTAATAATCAATAATCTAATAGTAATAATCTAATAATAGTAATCAATAATCTAATAATAGTAATAATAATCTAATAGTAATAATAACCTAATAATAGGAATAATAATCTAATAGTAATAATCAATCTAATAATAGTAATAATCAATAATCTAATAGTAATAATCACCTAATAATAGTAATAATCAATAATCTATAATCTAATAGTAATATAATAATAGTAATAAATAATCTAATAATAATAATCTAATAGTAATAATATAATAATAGTAATAATAATATAGTAATAATAATCTAATAATAGTAATAATAATCTAATAATAGTAATCAATAACCTAATAGTAATAATGATGACTGAATTTCATGCTTAATGAATAAAAGATAATAATACTGTGTTTCCCCAAAAATAAGACTCTTGTCACATATATATATAAGACCCGATTTTGCTTATTATCAGGGGGTGTATTATTTTGGGGGAAACAGGGTAATCATCATCATCATCAGCCATATCAACCATTAGCACCAGTCAATAGTATTTGTGAGGCATTTTTAAATGTTCAGTTGACTGAGTTTCATATTTAATGGATAAAGGAGATAATAATAATAATAATTAGCATTTTCTTCCTTTCACCCTTTCTTTATTTGCAGTTTGCCTTATCTTCCACCTAAGCCTAAGGGAATCTGGCAGGTGTGCCTTCTGCATCAGCCATTAGCAAACTTTAGGGCTTCGGCCATTACAACTGCCCTATAAATAGAATATAAATTCAACACAAATATGCACGTCTGTACATGCATGCACAGGCACACACTCTATACAGCTAGTCCTCGACTTACGACCACAATTGAGCCCTGCCATTCCCCTTGCTAAGAGAGGCAGTGGTGAAGTGAGTTTTGCCCCGTTTTACGACCTTTCGCGCCACGTTTGTTAAGTGAATCGCGGCAGTTTCAGTTAGTAAAATGGTTGTGAAGCGAATCCAGCTTCCCCGTTGACTTGGCTGGTCAAAAGGTCGCAAAAAGAGGATCATGTGACCCCGGGACGTTGCAACCGTCGTAAATATGAGTCAGTTGCCATTCGATCACTTAACCACAGGGAGGCTGCAATGGTCATAAGTGTGAAAAGAGGTCCTAAATCACTTTTTTCAGTGCTAGTGTAACTTCAAATGGTCCCTAAATGAACTACCTTGAATAGACATATTGGGGAGGGGATAAAACTCTTTTACTTGGGTTGCCCAGAAATTCCTTTTCCCCCCCAGTGTCAACTTCAGCTCCTTTGGGGGGAAAAATACTAACCCTTTTTCCTTTTCCTTTTTTAAATTTCGCTTCCAGCCTGGGACTTTACAAAAAGGGACAGGTTAGTCATGGTGATGAAATATTTTTGCTCTGTCATAGGCTAGTGGAATTTTTTTTTCTCTCTCTCTTTTTCTCTGTCTTTTTGCTTGGTGAGTAGAAATAGATCTTGACGGGGCTGGAAGATCAAACTGGCCTTCCAGTTTCCAGCTGCAGCTTAATTTCAATTTAAAAACAATTTGCCTTTGCTGTCAGTATTGGCCTTTTTTAGGCCTACTTGTAGCGCAGGAAGAATTGCGACTTAAAAAGACCTCAGGAAAGCAATAACATGCAGAAGCCAGCTAAAACAGCTGTGACAAGTTATGCAGGTAGTCCTCGACTTACGGCCATTCGTTTAGTGACCGAAGTTACAGCGTCACTAAAAAAAAGTGACATAATTACCAATTTTTGCACTTAATGACGATGGTCACACAATCAAAATTAGGCCCCTTGTCAACTTGTGATAGTTGTGCTGTTCTGGGTTTATATGATCACCATTTGTAACCTTCCCAATACGTGGGAAGTCGCATTCTTTTAACGATCGCGTGACTCACTTAACAACTGCAGTAATTCCCTTAACAACCGTGGCCCAAAAAAAAAAAAAAAGAAGATAGTAAAATCAGGCATGGCTCCCTTCACCACCGCTTCGCTTAGCAATGGAAATTCTGATCCCAATTGTGGTTGTAGGTCGAGGACTACCTGTAAATTCCTAAGTGATTTAGTTAAGGAAAGCCCCAGTCAAATTGAAAGCGTTAAAATTTGGGGCCCAGAAGGTTCAGTCTCCTCTTCCCCCATTTCAGGTTTACCTCTGAATGTGCTCTCTTTATCTACACCCACTTTCCTTTCTGGAATTTATCAGGATTAGTAAGGCTTTGGCCTTATCAGCCTTGGTTGAGATAAAGCCAAGCTTGGGAGCAAGAGAACGTAACAGCTGTCCTTTTTTTTTTTTGCTCAGACCTTTTGCTTTCAACTCGTGTCCCGGGCCTTCAAAATCAAGGTTATGCCTGCTGAGGCAGAGAAGATCAAACTTTGCGCCAAGGTGCAAAAGTCCAGCTCCTCAAGCATGCATTTTGCTGAACACAAATTCCTGCTTGGAATGTGGAAAGCAAGAAAAGAGTGGGAGAGGAAAGAAAGGTTTTAAAAGAACAGTGCCTTCTCAGAAAAATGGTCTTTCGGAGTACACACTCTCCCAACTATTTCATAGTGTGTCTCTGCTTTTAAAAAAAAAACACACTCACTTCGAGTGAACGTTAGGCTCGGATTGAGGAAACTGACTGGTTCACATCAAACTTACAAAAGGAGTTTTCAGTAAATTACTGTTTTGTGCAATCTTGAGCCCCGAGGGGAGAAACCACATATTAAACTTCGGTTAACCTCGTTTTATTGACATTTAAACTCCCGTTTCAGATGGAAAATAAATGGCTGGCACAGCCTGTAAATACCAGTAGCATGCCCCTGTCTTCGGACTGACAATGTCAGAACCATGACACTTGAGGAAAAGGAAATGGGGAGGGAAGAGGGATTGAGCAGTCATTGGGGCACGAAATAGATAGTAGGTGTGGTTATTTATAGCTTAGGAAGGCGATGAAGCCTCTCAAAAGGTAACAGGAGCAAACAACTTATATACTACTACATACCTGCAAAGCTGTATCAATGCCTGCAAGGGAATCTATATTTTATTCCTATGCCTGTCTTGTTAAAAGACCTGTGTTGCAAAATATATAACAGAAAACAGCATGTTGGACTCCCTAAAACAAATAAACTTCCCTCTCCTTTTTTAGTCCTGGTTTAATGCTTACTCGGGTGTTTATTGATGTACTGGTTCGTCTGCATTTCTTTCTTCCCTCTTTCTCCTAGAATTTCAAGGCAATATACGTGGCTTTCCCCATTCAAATTCCTTGTGTGTCCAATCACACTTGGCCAATAAAGAATTCTATTCTATTCATTCACCTTCCTCTTTTAACAGTGCAGCCCTCTTTGGAACTGAAGAAACAAAGCCTGCACATTTCTCAGGGGCCCCTCGCGATTCTCACCTAAAGCGAAATAATCTGGTTGTTTTTTTGTTTTTTTGTTTGTTTTTTGCTTTCCCCATCCCCCAGCCTGCGGTGGCAGCACCGTGCCTCAGTCAAGGTGGTCAACGAACCCATTTTGGCCTTCAAACCTGGGAGCCCTGAGCGAGCCGCCCTCCAGCAGGTAACCAAAGACAAAGAGAGGAGTCCTCATTGTGGCATAGGAGCTGGAGGAAGGGTGTCAAACTCGATTTCATTGAGTGCCGCATCAGGGGGGTGGGGGTGGGGCAGGGTGTGTGTGGCCAGCTTGATGTCACTCGTATCGGGGTGCCTGTGGTGGCCCTAGTGCTCTACCAGCGAAAGCAGGCTCCGTTTCTGGCTGCGATGGCCTCCTGCAAACCCTCCCAAGCTCCGTTTTCACTGGCAGAGGCACCATGGGCCAGTCCTTCACTCTTTCCAGGGGAGCCCCTTGGGCCGGATCTAAGCACCCTGCAGGCTGGATCCGGCCTGCAGGCCTTGAGTTTGACACCCCTGAGCTAGAGCAGGGGTTAGCAACCTTAAACACTCAAAGAGCCACAAAGGTCCTAATACGAAGCCCCACTCACTTCTGGAGCCGACTGGAAGTCCATCATAGTCTCCTTCTAGCGCGGCGTCCTTTTTCCTCTGCCTGTCCTAACCGAAAGCCCTATCAATTGTGGAGCTGACTAGCCACAGGGAGCCGCAGCAAAGGGATGAAAGAGCCACATGCGGCTCCAGAGCCGCGGGTTGCTGATCCCTGAGTTAGAGCATCTAGTCAAGTCCATTCAGCGACATGCACGGAACACGAGACTGCTTGATTCCCAAGCTTTTGTTGCCACCTTTAATTCCGGGGCCTGCTTGCTCAGGTATAGAAGCAAAGCTATGCTTCGATTCGCACTAATCACAAAAAGCAGGGACTCCAGGTGCGGCTGCAATTTAGTGGCCCTGCTGTCAGGTTTCGAGGTCGTCTCAAATAAATTGCATTTCAAACGAAGTCTTTGAAGAAAAACTCCCATTTATTAAGTACGACATTCTAAATCCGACTCCATCGCAGCCAACACTGACTTCCAGACCCAAAACCCTCCCTTTCCGTTCCCCACTCTCCTGCACTCATTGGCCATCTTCCAAGTCACTCTACCCCTAATCTACTGCTCCAGCTCAAAGGAATTTCCCCCCTCCCATCCCATCTCCTAGGGGATATTATCTCCAGGGAAATAAGTAGGTGAAAAGTCAAACATCCCTTTCCAGACGCCTCCGCTTCTCCTTATGTCAGCACTAGAGTAAATGCAGCTTGAAGTGCTGACACCTGCCTTGTAGGTAATGGGCAGATAAAGATTCCAAGATTGAGGGTTTGGAGAAAATAAGATTTGGGGGTGAGATTTGAAGCGAGGAAGAAAGATGCATTCTTTTCAGATGCAAAGGATTGCCAGGAAGGTTGGAAGGACAGCAAGCTTTTGGTTGCGGAGTACAGCAACATAAATACAGGTAGTTCTCGACTTACGACCACAATTGAGCCCAAAGTTACTGTCGTTAAGTGGGTTTTGCCCCATTTTTACAACCTTCCTTGCCGCAGGTGTTAAGTGAATCCCTGCAATTGATACAAGTTAGTAACACAGTTGTTAGGTGAATCTGGCTCCCTTACTGACTTTGCTTGTCAGAAGGTCACAAAAGGGGATTGCCCCGGGACACTGCGACCATCGTAAATATGAATCACAGTTGCCAAAGCGCCTGAATTTTGATCACATGACCCTGGGGATGCTGCAATGGGCATACGTCACATTTTTCAATGCCATTGTAGCTTTGTTGTTGTTGTTGTTGTTAGTTGTGAAGTCGTGTCCGACCCATCGCGACCCCATGGACAATGTTCCTCCAGGCCTTCCTGTCCTCGACCATCCCCCGGAGTCCATTGAAGCTCACGGTGACTGCTTCAGTGACTCTATCCAGCCACCTCGTTCTCTGCCGCCCCTTTCTTCTTTTGGCCTCCATCGTTCCCAGCATTCAGCTCTTCTCCAGTGAAGAGCTTTGAATGGTCACTAAATGAACTGTTGTAAATTGAGGACTACCTGTATCCCATTTGGGGAATGAAGAGAAGGGGGCACAAGGAGGTCTCCAGAATAGGCAAGGTGTGAGCAGCGCAAGGATCAGAGAAAAAAATTGTGATCTGGGGAGCAGAACAAGTGAGACAACAGCTAACTTGTTAACGAAGTCGTTACTTCCTTCTATAGGCTTTAAATGACTTGAGGGACAAGACCGAAGAGATCCCGTGTGTCATTGGGGGTGAGAAAGTATGGACAGCCAACGTGAGATATCAAGTGTCGGTGAGTTCCACCAGTAAGGGCCTGCTTCATTGGTACTCTGATATAACAGCTGTGTTGTGGCCTGTCGGCCGCCGAATCCAATCAGGAGGAGGTGTGGGAGTCAGGGTCGGCCTGAGAGCTTTGAGGGGGAAGAGGGAATGGAGCTGGCAGAGAGAGAGAGAGACAGAGGCAGAGCCTGGGCCATCCATCAGCCCTCATATGGAGAGTCAACACCCCTAGGTCTGGAGGTGGCTGATGAGGAAGAGGAGGAACAGCTGGGTCCAGTGCCTGACGTGCAGATGCTCAGAAGCCAGAGGAGAGGAGAGCAGTGGAAATCAATGGGCCGGTCCTTGGGACAGAAGAGCCACCACTGCTAGGGAAGCCCCACCCTATCTCTGGGGATAAAAGGCAGGGGGCGGAAATGAATAGGCGTGTCAGACAACTATTCATCTCCCTGCTGGTCCTCCACTGATAGCCTGCACATCCAAATCCTGTCTGAAAATTATCAGAATTCTTCTTGGAATCTGTAGCGCCTTCTGAGCATGTGTGTGTGTGTGTGTGTTTGTGTGTGTGTGTATCCTGCAGAAAGAGTGAGTGCACCTTCCAGGACTTCCTTTGCAAGTGTGGAAATAGAGAGAGAGAGAGAGACTCCTGGTGTGTTGGGCCAGTTCGTAGCCTGCTGTGAGAGAGCGGCTGCTGGCGCTCCTAACGAAGGGAACGTTTTGTTAACTACAAAGGGCTTGTTGAGTTTGGGAGCCGGGTCAGAACAAGCTGTGATAAAATCCCTCCCCCCTCCCCAAAAAATGTTGTCTTTTCCCAAAACAGCAGATTCTAGTTTTACTTGTAAAAAGAGCATGATTCATCACCGTTTGACCTAAAGGCTTAAAAGTCTGCTGATAACCCGTCAGTACTGGTCAGAAATATTTTACTCACTGTATTTCTTTTGGGGAATCTTATCACCGTTGGAAAGCTTACTTTAAAATAATCAGATGCATTTCTGTTTAAAAAAAAAACGAGCACAGGCGGTTTTCGATGCTAACTCAAGAGGATTGCTGGTCAAAATTGTCAACGTGTTTTTTCTTCCTTCCTCTTTTTTTTTTCTCCAGCCCTTTAAACATTTACACCAAGTGGCCAAATACTGTTATGCTGATAAGGTGAGCAAAGCATCCTGCCATATAACTCTTTTTTTTTTTTTTTTGTGGGGGGGGTGGGGGGAATTTTCATAGGTAGGAGTCGTTTCAGATTGAAGCTGTGCTTGTAAGCACATCTTAGAATAAGCTTGTAAGCTCCCGAGAGCCGTCTACAAAGGAGGGTGTCCGTTGTTTGTCTGAACGACTCACTGTTCTGTCCCTGAATCCGGGCATCGAGCCCCATTCTGTTTCCGCCTTTGAGATGAATGTCTTCTTCCTGAGGCAGCAGAATTTAACCCTCCTTTACAGTGGTGGGATTCTAATAATTTTAACAACCGCTTCTCTGCCCTATTGACCGGCTGGGTGGGCGTGGCCAGGGGTGTGTGACAGGCAGCACTCGGCCTCCTGCACCCCCCTGGGAGCAAAAATGGGCCACGGGGGGGATGTGCTGCCCCCGCGGCCCGTTTTGGCCTAGGAGGCCTCCCTGCACTTCCTGGGAGCCAAAATGGGGCACGTGGGGACTCCTGGAAGGGTCAGGGTGGGAAGGGGCGGAGCCAGCCAGCAATTTAACTCTCGGTTCTCCTGAACCGGTTGAATCCTACCACTGCTCCTTTGGGAAGTTTCCTGACCAAATTACTCTTCCGTACCAGCAATTAGGAGCTGTGCCCACAGCACAGCCTATAGCAGTGATGGCTAACCTTTTTGCCGTCGCGTGCCAAAAGTGGGGGTCGCACGGGGGGTGTGTTGCGCGCTTGCGTGCCCACACCCATAATTCAATCGCCCCGCCCCCCCCCCCACGGGCCCCCCCCCCTGCACTCCCCCTGCTTTTGGCACATGATGGCACAGTGGGCCCATTTCTCACCCTTCCCAGGCTCCAGAGTCTTTCTAGGAGCCTGGGGAGGGCAAAAACAGCCTTCCCCAACCCCCCGGAGGCCGGAAATGGCCTGTTTCCTGACTTCCGGTGGGCCCAGAAGTGGGCCCAGCTGGCCAGCACGTGCATGCACGCTGGAGCTCAGCTAGGGCAATCCTTGCGTGCCCACTGATATGGCTCCACGTGCCACAGGTGGCATGCGTGCCATAGGTTTGCCATCACGGGCCTATAGATAAAGGAGTGGGGCTTATACAAAAAACGACAAACTCAAGCCCGATTACAGAAGTTTTCGGTCACCTCTGGCGATCCTTTGTGAATAATTGGGTTATTTGAAATAAGACAGGAAATGTTTAGCCCTCGATGGAGTCATTAACCTGTTTTTTTAAAGCCAACCAAGATACCGGCCATCATGTGGCAGTGAGTCCCGTAATTTCCAAGGTTGGTTACAGCATTTAAAAAAAAAAAACAAACTTGTGAAAGTGTGTGTGTCTATGGACAAGAGCCTTGGTGGTACAGGGGTTTAAGGCACCCTGTTATTAAGCTTATTAAGACCAGCTGCCTGCAATTACTGCAGGGTTCGAATCTCGCCAAGGCTCAAGGTTGACTCAGCCTTCCATCCTTTCTAAGGTAGGTGAAATGAGGACCCAGTTTGTGGGGGCAATAAGCTGACTTTGTATAAATATACAAAAGGATGAAGGCTATTGCTGAGCACATTGTAAGCCGCCCTGAGTCTCTGGAGAAGGGCGGCATATAAATCAAATTAAAAAAAAAATAAAAAAAAAAATAAAAAAAAATAAAGTGCTGTTAAGTAGCACCAGCTGCCTGCAATTACTGCGAGTTCGAATCTCACCAGGCTCAAGGTTGACTCAGCCTTCCATCCTTTCGAGGTAGGTAAAATGAGGAGCCGGTTTGTGGGGGCAATAAGCTGACTTTGTATAAAATAGAACACCGCTTGGGGGGGGGCGAAAGCCCTACTAAGCAGGTATATACAAAAGTATGAAGGCTATTGCTTAACGCATTGTAAGCCGCCCTGAGTCTCCGGAGAAGGGCGGCATGTAAATCGAACCAATAAATAAATAAATCTTCTATGCTGTGCTTCATTCCACAAACTTCTATTATTCACCCTCCACTCCAGTCAGTTCATAAATATGGCGGAAGGCTTGCATGGAAGGACCTCCACCGCTTCTTGGTGTTTCGCGGAAATGAATCGTCTTAATTTTCTTGCCCATCTAGGACTTGTTGAATAAGGCCATTATCTCTGCCTTGGGTGCCCGGAAGGAATGGGATCTCCGGCCCATCCAGGATCGGGCGGAGGTCTTCTTCAAAGCGGCCGACATCCTCAGCGGGCCCAGAAGGGCAGAAATCTTAGCCAAGACCATGGTCGGACAGGTAAATAGGTGCGTGGCTGGGGGCTCGGATCACATCCGGGGTCCCAGCCCTGCTGAGGGAAGGAAACCAGCACATGGAGGGCCCCCGGATGAAATTTAAGAAAAACGCAGCAGTTGTATTAGAAGCTCCTTTGGGAGGGATTTGACTTAGCGGCCGTCGGTTGCTAACCCCGGAGTGTTGCTAGCTTTGTCCAAAGTTATCTCTGCCACACACACCCCAAAAAAATGTCTGCAGTCTTGCCCTGACTTGCTTCTTTTTCCCTGCCCCCCCCCCTTTATCTCCAGGCTAAAACAGTCATCCAAGCAGAAATCGACGCGGCCGCGGAGCTGGCGGACTTTTTCCGCTTCAACGCTAAATACGCCCTGGAGTTGGAGGGGGAGCAGCCCATCAGCGCCCCACCCAGCACCAACAGCCTGGTGTATCGGGGGCTGGAGGTAGGGTCAACGTTCAATCCCGATTTTGCAGGATCTGGGACAAACCGAGCTCCGTCTTTTGCCTTCACCCGGCAGGGGAGGGAGGGGGCTGCGAAGGCAGCTCCATAGAATTAACGCTGTGTGTCTGTCTGTCTGTCTGTCTGTCTGCTCTTGTCCACTAAGCTGCTGAGGGCTGTCCAGTCCCCTTCCCCAAGCAGGGGACTTTCCAACGAGCAGGGAGAGATAACGGCTGCCTGCATGGCTGCGTTTAAAGCATTTGCACCCCCCTCCTCATTTTAAACAGCCCCCAAGCCACTGTGTGTCAACTTGCAAAGTTTTCAAGTTGCCATGAGCAGGAGGGAGGGAGAACTGAAGTGAATTCCATACATTCTTTCTGACCGCAATCAGAAGGAGGGAGTTAGGTTTCACAGCCAGCCAAAGTGGTTAATTGGAGAATGTGATTTATGACGTGGCCAGAGAGGAGGGGAGAGACAGGGTCATAGGGGAACGTAAATCTACGTGGGATCAGTCCTAACTGCATCCCAGTATTGCCGGAATGTTGCTCCTAATAAATGACTATATTTCCTTTGAAGTTTGGATCATGGCTCATGAATTAATTAGGGCATCTTTCGGAAACTTGACACTGTGCTTGTACACAGACTGTAAAAATGGTTATTTAGGAATCCCTCATATAGCAGAAGTCATCTTTGTTTCTCCTGATAGTGAGGGGAGAAGCTGGAAGTTAAAGCGAGCTCCCCCCACCACTCCTTAACAAACAGCAAAGTAGAAATTATCTATTTCCCAGCATCCCCACCCTTCCTGCTTTTTCCTTTCCACACACCTTTTCCAGCACGAGGACTAGAATCTTGAAACGGGGGAAGCCATGCACAGTCGGTCAGAGGTTGGGGGCTTGCGAGGTGCATCTCTTATCCCGCCCCTTCCTTCTGAAGCCGGGCGAGGGTCACCCTTCCCTCCCCTTCTTTTCCGCAGGGCTTTGTGGCTGCGATCTCCCCCTTCAACTTCACCGCCATCGGAGGGAACCTGGCAGGAGCCCCAGCAGTGATGGTGAGTTCTGCCATTGGATCCATTCTGTGCCTTCAATTGCAGCCTTTGAAAATGGGCGCTCACCCCCGACTCCTTCCTGCTTCTGGGGTGCCCGCAGACGCAGAATATTATCTGCTTCACCAGCCGATGTGTTTTTGAGGATCCAAATATTCCTTCACACCCTTGAGGACTAGATCCTTCTTGGGGCTGTATCCCAAAGAAGCCGCCTTGAGTCTTCAGAGAGAGATGGCATACAAATTGAATTAATAAATAAATAAGCTGAAGAGGGCTCTTTTATTTTTTTTTCTTTCCCCCTCTCTCTCAGGGCAACGTGGTCCTTTGGAAACCCAGCGACTCGGCTATCCTGTCCAGTTATGGCGTCTACCAGATCCTCCTGGAAGCCGGGCTGCCTCCCGGTGTCATCCAGTTTGTCCCAGCAGAGGGCACCACATTCGGGGACACGGTGACCAGCTCAGAGCACTTGGCTGGCATCAACTTCACCGGCAGCGTCCCGTAAGTTTGGGTTGCCCAGGGTAGGATGAGAAGGATGACTCTGAGGACCCCCTCCTCAATTCAACTCTTTAAGGAAGCCCTGTGTATTCTTTCTAACCTTCCCTTGCAAGCTTTCCTAAACCCCCTCTCAGTGGAACAGAAAGCTGGATCGGCTGGCATCTTTATCGACAATGCCCCTTGAGCCAGGGGTGAAATGCTCCCGGTTCGGACCGATCCGGTAGCAATGGTGGCGGGTGGTTCGGAGAACTGGTAGCAAAAATCCCTGCCACCCCCTCCCATGCCCAGCTGAGCCATGTGATCATCAGAGGCTTTTTTTTAATTTTTAAAAGCATTTTTTCTACAATCTCTTCGGCCAAAAAAATGCTTTTAAAAGTAAAAAAAAAAAGCCTCTGATGATCGCATGGCTCAGCTGGGATCGTCAGTCTTTTAAAAGCATTTTTTTAATGCTTCTTTTCTTCGGCCGAAAAGGTTGTAGGAAAAATGGTTTTAAGAGTAAAAAGAAAAAAAAAAGTTTGTCATGCCCACTCAGTCATATTAACCCCCCCCCCCCCCAAGCCACGGCCACAGAACCGGTAGTAACAAATTTTACATTTCACCACTGCCTTGAGCCCTCTTTTTCAATGTGGCTTGGATCCTGGGCTGCCAACCTCTGCCCATATCACTCAAACAGCTAAAAAGATGGCCTAGAGTTTAAAAAAATGGGATGCGGTGGCTCAGTGGCTAAGACGCTGAGCTTGTTGGTCAGAAAGGTTGGCGGTTCGAATCCCGAGCGCCGCATCACGGGGTGAGCTCCCGTGACTTGTCCCAGCTTCTGCCAACCTAGCAGTTCGAAAGCACGTAAAAAAAAAATGGAAGTAGAAAAAATAAGGACCATCTTTGGTGGGAAGGGAACAGCATTCCGTGTGCCTTTGGGGTGGAGTCACGCCGGCCACAGGACCACGGAGACGTCTTCCGACAGCGCTGGCTCTTCGACTTTGAAACGGAGATGACCACCGCCCCCTAGAGTCGGGAACGACTAGCACATATGTGCGAGGGGAACCTTTACCTTTAAGAGTTAGAAAGGAGAGATCCTAGGCACTCTTGACTTCAACCCCAACACTTCTCAATCCTTCCCCCCCCGCCCCCCCAAAAAGGTCCAGTCGACTTAAACAGGACAAATAAATATTTTGAGAAAGCTTCCTAGGTCAGCCAACGCAGATTGTCATTATGCTTTCACTGCCTGTCCCCCGTTTCAGAAGTCCCGTCAGGTCCCGGGGATTGCAATCCAGAAAGAAAATACTTCAGCTTTCTTGGCTGTTTTCTTTCCCCCCCACACCCCCCTCTTCTTCTCTTCCCTTTCTTGATTTCAAGTGTGACCAAAGTCTTGCTTTTCAAAACAATAAAAATGCTAATAGCTTCACCCCAGGAGTTCCACACTCTGCCTTTTAATTTATGAGCTTTTCCCCCACTCGCTTAAGGAGCAGGGAGCAGCCGAGCATGGCTTTTTTCTCTTTCGCATAGCGCCCGGGCGGTTTTAATAGTCACACCGTCTTTCAGAGAGACAGAGATTGCAAACATCGGAGAGGGAGGGGGGTAGGTAGGCCCTTCTCGCTCCCCCACCCCAAGACACCGGTTTTTTTGAGAAATGCTAAATAGCTGGCCTTCTCCTTGCAAAGGATTTTGTCTCCTGGTTTAAAAAAAAAAAGTTTTGGGTTTCAGCGGTTGTGGCATAGGGGGACAGAAAGGGCTAACCCAGGGGTCTGCAACCTTAAAACACTCAAAGAGCCATTTGGACCTGTTTTCCACAGAAAAGAAAACACCGGGAGCCACAAAACCCTTCCCGTCCCTGACGATTTCTTGAGCGGCCACAAAACTAGCACATGTAGTTGAATTAAACGTTCTAAAACTTTTCTTTTCTTAGATTTATCCATGGGGTTGGCCTACCGGGGGTTGAAAAGCTCAATAAATCACATGCCGGTGGGTGTCGTACATTGGCGGTGGTGATGCATATTTTGAGTGACAGGGAGCCGCAGCAGAGGGGTGAAAGAGCCACATGCGGCTCCAGAGCCGCAGGTTGCTGACCCCTGGGCTAAGAGAACAAGAGGTGCTTCACATTAACCTAACAGTCGGCCTTGGCGTGCCTGCGGAGGGAGGGGGCGGCTGAGTGGGACCCCCAACAGGGTGTGAGTTTGAAAAGACCCCTGCCCTTGTGTGCCTCCAGACTTTGTCAGGGGCTGACAGTGCCAGGAGAAGAGAGGAGAAAAGTGAACAATTAGATCTTCTCTCGTCTTTTTTATTTTTATTTATTTTATAGGACTTTTAAGCGTCTCTGGAAACAGGTCTCTGAAAACCTCGACCGGTATCGCACCTTCCCTCGGCTGGCTGGGGGTAAGAACTGGGAATGTATTTGGTTTTATTTCTGTCAGACTTCGATGCTATCTCAAAATAAATGAATTCCCAAACTGCCAATCTTTAAGGAAATCTTCTCTTTATTCAAGCACAGCCACCGGATCATGACTCGATGCGGACAAGACTGACCTTTTGCCCCCCATTCCCTCCCTTTCCGATCCCCAATTCTCTGCTTCTCATTGGCTATCTTCCAAGTCACTCTCCTGACTTCTTGTCTCGTCATTTCACAGGAATGTCTCCCCGCTTCTCATTTCCACGACGACCGAGCTTCAAAGGGATTTAGCAGGCAAAAGTTCAGAGCTTATCTCTCCTCTCTATGCCAGCGCTAAAACGCTGACATCTTCTTCCTTACCCCCTACCCCCAGAAGGCCCAAAAAAACCCCAGAACAACCCAGGTAGTGTGAAGAGCTCCTCTTGATAGTGAATCCAAAGAACTTTGGGTAGCTTTCTAATCCGACAGTCTCCTGCATATATTCCTGGCTAATTCTTTTAAAACCAAACTGCCGGCAGCACCCCAGATGCTAAGTTGCCGACAATCAGAAACCCCTCGGTCTCTCTAAAGCACGGGCATCTGCCAGCATGGTGGGGAAGCATTTGCCCCGCTGCCAATCTCACAGGAACTAGCCATGCACCCATCCAGCCTGTTGAATTTCTCCCAGAATTCCGATGGAGGAAGAACTTTTCCCTCTCTTCCTCTCCCCCCCCCCCAAATATTTTGCAAGTTGCTTTCAGCAATTCCACACAGCCAGGATGTTGCAAGTTGTTGCAGCAACTTGATAGTTGTTGCAACAACTTGAAGTGAAGGAAGGTTTTCAATTGTGAGAGGGTCACGTCCTCCCCCACTCTGGGAGGAGCGACGCCTAGAATTGGAAACCCCCCCCCTTGATCACTCCTCTCAAAATGTCTCCCTTTCTCAGAATGCGGAGGGAAGAATTTCCACTTTGTCCACGCCTCGGCTGACGTGCCCAGCGTGGTGAGTGGGACGATCCGCTCAGCCTTTGAATACGGCGGCCAGAAATGCTCGGCCTGTTCCCGCCTCTACGTGCCGGACTCTCTGTGGCCTCACATCAAAGCCGGGCTGCTGGAGGAGCATCAGAAGATCAAAGTGGGAGACGTGAGTTGTGGCTTGGCAGTCGGGGATGCTTCACCGGCTGCCTGGCGCCCCGAAAGTAGTTTCTCAATGGGGTGCTTCATTTCCCACCCCACTCCCCCGAGGCCCACATTTAATTTTAAAACAACTCTTGCATTGGGGTGACTTAATTCACTTTCAGGGCATGGCTATAGAAGGATGGTCTTTTATATGAGTTTAGCCTAAGGCAGGGGTATCAGGTTTGATTTCATTGAGGGTCACCTCCAGAGGTGGGATTCATTTACCTTCCTAACCGGTTTGCAAATGTGAGCGCGTGCGCACCTTCAGCACATGCTTGGTGTTCCACGTATGCTCTTTGCTCGCGTGTGCGCCTTCCCAGCATGCGCACGGCTTCCAAAACATGGCTAAATAGGACGACATTAAGTCCGGCCGTGTGGGCAGGGCCTACCGCAGTCACTGCTACCGGTTCACCAAAACCGGCTGAATCCCACCTCTGGTTGCATCATTGTTGTGTTTGACCTCAGGGGGCGTGGCGCCAGTGCTTCCCTGTTTCCAGGGTGACCCCGCAGGCCAGATCTAAGCACCACATGGACTGGATCCAGTCCATGTGGATCTCACCCGCGAGCCTTTAGTTTGACATCCCATGGTCTAAAAGATAAAGGTACAACATGAAAGGAAGGATGGAAATGGAGGGAGGAGAAAAAAAAGTAAGCTCAGGGGTCCTTTTTATTTTTCTAACAACCACCGGGGAGACTTTTGAAATTTTGGGGGATGCTGGAATCGTTAGTTAATGGAGAACTTTGCAGGCTGAAAATCTGAGATCTTCCCATCTCCAGAACCAACGGGGGAACCTCTGCAGTCTGAACTCGTGCGGACTGGAATTGGATTCATTTCTCTAGATACTAGGGCGCTCGCTGGAGCCACGTTCAAGTTTCTCCCAAATTCCTTATATTTCCTCTCTCTCTCTGCAGCCAGCTGAAGATTTCGGAACGTTCTTCTCCGCCGTGATTGATAGCAAGGTCAGATTGCATTATTTCTTGTGTATCTAAACCAGCTTTCATTTTTCCGCAGGCAGAATGTTTATGCTTTGACATTTGCACCTGCAAACAAGCACCTAGAACAGGCCTCTGTGTGTGTGTGTAACTTACACTCTTAGACAGTAGTTTCATACTTCATCATCATTTCATGAACTCCTTTCAAGGTTTAATGGACAAGAAGAAGATGTTCTGAGATGTTTGCCTGCTTATTGTGCTAGGCACTTAGTTTCTTGTTACACAGACGTAACCAGAGCTGCCTTGGGGTTTTGCCTGTACCGACATCACTTGTTTGGAGCGGGTGGGGGGAGGTTAGAGGAGCTCCAAGATGCCGAAATGGTCTCAGGAGAGTCCGGGCGAGGCGAGGAGTGGATGGGAGGGGAGCCGCAAGGTGGGGCTGGATGAGGTGATTCAGCCGGTTCGCCGAACTGCACACAAAGTTAACAACCGGTTCAGGTGAACCAGTGCGAACCGTCTGAATCCCACCACTGGACGTAACTCTATAGTTTCCGCTGTTGTGTCTTTCAGGCGTTCGCACGCATCAAGAAATGGCTCAAGCATGCCGAATCCTCACCCAACCTGAACATCCTGGCTGGAGGCGGCTGCGACGATGCGGTGGGCTATTTTATCCAGCCGTGCATTGTTGAGACAAAAGACCCCAAGGATCCCATCATGCAAGAGGTCAGTCTTTGCGATGGGGAACGGGCACCAAGAGGAGATCCTTCCTTAGGGAAATGCTAAATACTTCCCACAGTCTTTGCTTGTTCCCTGTGAGGCCAAGTTTTCCCCCATGCCCCTTTCTGCAAGAGTTTAAAATATCTCTGATCATTGCAAAAAACACCGTTTAATTAAGAACTTGGCAGACGCTCTCTAGGACTCCGAACATGCGCTGGGAAATGTCGTTCAGTCATCTCCACAGCAATACTTGGCCCCTCACTTCAGACAAGCTAATTTTCCTAGTGAAAGTGTCCCCAAAGTTTTACAGAAATGTCGACGATAATTTTCCCAGAGGCACCAGCCTTTAATTTCAGTTTGTTTTCTCTTTTTTTCCCCCTCCACGGGCAGGAAATCTTTGGGCCAGTTCTGTCGGTGTACGTCTATCCGGAGAAACAGTACAAAGATATTCTCCACCTGATTGACAGCACTTCTCCGTACGGCCTCACAGGGGCGGTGTTTGCCCAGGATAAGTAAGAACTGGGGTGTCTTCGGTTGGATGTCCTGGGGGGTTGCCCTCTACTTGGATCGAATGTTACTGTCCTGGGGACTTGGGAAATAACAGTCAGTTTTAAGAAGGAAGTAGGCCCAGACCCAAATACTCTTAATTAAAGGTGGGTTTCAGCAGGTTCTGACCAGTTCTGGAGAACCGGTTGGGGAAATTTTGAGTAGTTCAGAGAACCGGTAAATACCACCTCTGACTGGCTCCGCCCCCATCTATTCGCTGCCTCCCGAGTCCCAGCTGATCGGAAGGAAATGGGGATTTTGCAGTAACCTTCCCCTGGAGTGGGGAGGGAATGGAGATTTTACAGTATTCTTCCCCTGGAGTGGGAATGGAGATTTTACAGTATCCTTCCCCTGGATTGGGGAGGGAATGGAGATTTTACAGAATCCTTCCCCTGCCATGCCCTAGCCACACCCACCAAGCCATGCCCACAGAACCAGTAGTAAACAATTTTGAATCCCACCACTGCTCTTAATGTTCCCCCAGCACAATTGCAATGGGGCAGAAGACCCTCCCCCCCCCACAATCCTCAATTTTGTCATTACCACAATATCCCAGCCCTAATGAAACCCCTTTGACCAGGAGCAGTATATCTTAGGATGCCGGGAAAGGGGCTAAAATCCTGATGCCCTCTTGCTGGAAGTTCTGAACTCTTTTCCCCTCTCAACATCTTTTTCTCAGGGCCGTCATTGATGAAGCCACCAAACTCCTAAGGAACGCGGCCGGGAATTTCTACATCAATGACAAGTCCACCGGTGCGGTGGTGGCCCAGCAGCCGTTTGGGGGCTCTCGTGCCTCAGGTACATGGGGATCAGATTGGGGGAGAGGGGGGGTGCTTCTCACCTGGCCTGTTCTGAGAACATTTTGCACCACTTTCTGATCAACTTTGGTTGCCGCGGTTGTTACTATCACCATTATCATCTCTGCCATTATGGTTGTGTAACTCCCCATTCCTGCCAATGGCTCCCAAGCCTGAAGTACAGACAAAACAACACATTTATTAACCGCTACACCCAGTTGTGGTTTGTGGACACAAACAAGGGAGTCTTTGTGGCACGCCGCAACCTTCTTTGCCTCTCGTCCAAATCTTATGAATTGCAAAATGAGCCCAAGGCAACCAGGTTCTCGCAACCACATAACGACCCCGGCAAGATGTGGGGAAGCTGGCCTGTGGTTTTCATGGGACAATGAGGTCTAGCCACTTGGCATGTTTGGTCGCAGAGGATGCAAACGCATTCCTTTCTTCTTTTGGACGTAGGAACCAATGACAAACCGGGCAGCGCTCATTACATCCTGCGGTGGACGTCTCCCCAGGCGATCAAGGAGACCCACGAGCCGTTGGGGGACTGGAAGTACCCTTACATGCAGTGACGTGGCTTATGGGGCCTTTGCAGACTTGGACGGCGATGGGCTACGTTTCTCTTTGGCGGCCTTCCTTGCCGATCTCTCCTAAGGGACAAATTACAAGGAGTGAATTGATTTCCTTCTCTATCACTTTGGACATCTTTGGAGAATTAAAATAATAATAATAATATCCTACTGAAAATCAAAATTTATCCCTCCACTTCAGCGCTGCCGTGTTTTGTTAATTTCTCCAGAGAGGCTTTGCTGCTTTGAACCCTCTTAAATGCGCATTCTTCAACTTTTGTATCTTGTTTCTGATAAATTTTTGCCGCGTCCACTGGAGGGGAGAAGTGCTAAAAGCAGCCTGGCGAATCTCTTTTTGTTAAAAGAAACACAGGAACAGCCAGGAACATCCGGAGAAATTGTGAGCGTCGATTCAGCGAAATTAGGAAAAGCGAAAATTAAACTCCTATAAACTTCCTTCTTTCCACATCCTAAGGAACGTGGGCTGAGATTTTTGGCTGAAAAGTTTCGCTTGTGCGTTGACAGTCACCGTCCAGATGGGACGCTGGTTCTTTTTAAAAAAGATCTATTTTTGTAAAATTTGAACATTCGAATCAGGGACAAGAAATGCTTTAAAAGGGGGACTTTTGGTAGCTTGCCAACTAAGCCAGGCTTAATTCTCTGCAAAAGCTCCGAAATCGAGGGACAGAAGAATAAAAATTGAATGTATGAAACTGATTGAGTGCCGAAAGACTGACGAACAGCTAATTTGCAGGACCTTAAAGGGCATAAAGCTTATTTTAAAAAATCTCCACAACTGTGTTCGTGTATCAAGGCTACATAATTTTCTTATCCCTATTTTGCTGACTAACATTTTTAGCCCTTGTAGCTTTGGAAAATTGATTTATATAACGAATCGTGTAAGCAGATGTAAACCAACTTGGTTCTACTCCATTAATTCTTAACTCCAATCTTACTCATCGTTTTTGTTCCGAGATAATTGTTTTGATTCCTGGTCCAGATATTCAGACTCATGTTGTCATAATTTCCTGCCAAGCCAAATTTACATTTCCAGTTTTCTTGGCTTACGCACTATCGCATTTCCAATCGCTCAAAGCAGATTGTCCCCTGTACGGATAGAAATGTTCCAAAATCTGCTCTTAATTTTTCTTGCACAAAAAACCCCCGCTGCTTTCCTTCCTTGCTTTGTCTTTACTAAAGTGTGATGATTGTTACCGCAGAAAGGTCTCAACACTGGATGTGCTTCCGAAACGGAAAGAAAAATGCCAAAACTAGGTAGCTAAATAAATACCTCCCAATTTCATGATAATGGGGATGCGATGGCTCAGTGGCTAAGACGCTGAGCTTGTCGATCGAAAGGTCGGCAGTTCAGCGGTTTGAATCCCTGGTGCCGCATAACAGGGTGAGCTCCTGTTACTTGTCCCAGCTTCTGCCAACCTAGCAGTTTGAAAGCACATAAAAAATGCCAGTAGAAAAATAGGGACCACCTTTAGTGGGAAGGTAACAGCATTCCGTGCACCTTTGGCATTGAGTCATGCCGGCCACATGACCACGGAGATGTCTTCAGACAGCGCTGGCTCTTCAGCTTTGGAATGGAGATGAGCACCACCTCCTAGAATCGGGAATGACTAGCACATAGGTGCAAAGGGAACCTTTACCTTTTAATTTCATGTATATCGGAAAGCAGTAGGGAGGAAGAGGGGGAAGAGAAGTCAGGAAGGATTAGGAAAAAGAAAAAAAAGCATTGATTTCCGACCTTCTCTGTTGCAGTAAAAATAAGGCATTTAACATCAAATCACCTTTTGTTTTTTTCTCATAATCATAAAAACTAGCCATTTCTATAAGGATCTATCAGTCTAATCGGTAAAACCCAAAATCAAAATGTCATTCTTTTCCGCTTCAAGCACAAAGCTCAGAAGCCGTCTCCATGTGGGAACGAAAACACTTATATATTCTTTTCTTTAATCAAAATAGTCCATTTTGCCATTTCAGCCAACTCTTACCAACTTCTGCAACCATTTGTCCTTGGTAGGAATCGAAGTGTCCTTCCATTTTTGGGGAGCATACAGTCGTCTTGCTGCCGTCAACATATATATAGTGTCAAAAGTTCTCAATTTTGGAGTAGGATTCATATTTTTAATACAGAAAAATTTTGAAAATGAAGATAAAGGAGCTTTTTTCGTTCCTGAACGCTAGGAGCAGGCCAGTTACGATCAACCTCTCCATTCCTGGCTTGGTGGTGCACGGAGAACCAATATCTTGTATGGTCATCAGAGTTTAAACAACTTTCCCTAAGTTGGGTTGATCAAGCATTGATAATGTCAGGTGAAAACTTATTAATAAAAGTTTTCTGCAAAAAGAAAACAGTCTGGAGTTGCGTTTTTCCAGTTAAGGAGGTGGCTGGATTTTCTCGGAAAGCGTAAGGTGGACAGGAATGAAATGTTAAATTTATTGAAAACGGATCAGAGCCATCCTGTTCTGCCCTAGCTACGGACCCCAAAGAACACAGCACACACAAAGTTGGTACAAAACTTAAATTTACTAAAATAACTCAGTCTTTTTCAAAACAAAGGATGTTAATAAACTTTCTTAACAGCCTACAAGAAACCAAAGATAAAGTGATCACACTATTACTAAGGTTGGGAGAAAGCCCAGAAGCAATTTGCAGAGTAGAGTGAACTAAAGTTGTTCCCTACAAATTGCTTCAGTCGGTGTTCCTCCTTAAATAGGCTAAGGGAGTGGCCAATTAGCCCAAGCCTTACTCTCGAGGAGACCTCCTCCTGAGGAGCCACTCCTGCTTTTTGGTAGCTCTGCGCGCTCGTGCATCAAGAAGAGGCTCCTCCTCTTCATCCTCTTCACTTAAAGGAGCTTCTGGAGGTTCTGGCTGAATCCCCGCCTCTGGCACCACATCTTCTCCACCCTCCTCATTGTCTGACTCGAGCGCCAGCTGCACAGACTGCTGGCGCAGCACCACACCAGCCTCCTTGCTGTCAGAATCAGCTACAATCCATAAAGGCCACTAACGGGCCACAACATATCCTGGGTCTTTTAAACAACCAGGTACATTCAGATCAAGCATCTCAGACTGGGGAACGTCTAATTCGGAACTGGGGAAAAAAAACCTCTGATAGTCAGGAAGTCAAGGCAAAAAATGACCCATCACTGCAGCATGGAAGCTCTTAAGCTGCCAGAGACAGGCTAAATGGTTGCGGGGGAGATGGTGGGTTCAATGTTCCCCCTTCACACCAATCCCAAACTGGTGTATCTGATGCGGCTCAGTTGCAGGAAGTACCCCGCTGGATAAAAGAGGCTGCTAAAGATACAAACTTCGAGGCTAAACTGTCATTTGGCTGGAAAAAAACCAAACGAACTCCAACGCTTTGCATAGAGAAACGAATCAGAGCTGGGAGATGATGAAATCCTTGCGGATTTATTGACTTATTTCTCGGCCTGGTGGTTTTATTTATTTATTTGAATGGTTTGAGATGGTGCGATCCCCGTTGGCAGAGTTCAGGATAATAATAATAATAATAAAAAAAATCGGCCTTAGTCCAGCAGCCCATTTGTGAGGGTGGGACAGCCAGATTGAATCTCCGTGTTGACGATTGACCCGTTTTCTAGGCTCAGCTAATTCGGGGGGAATTTAACGAAACCCCGGTGCCAATTCTTCCCATGTTGTCGCCAACAAAACCACAGGGAGGGATCCATACGCATTTCTACAAGCTTACCTTCATTTTCGCCACCCGAATTACAACAGATCCCCCGGGTGCCCGTCTCTCAACAGTAAGTAGCAGAGGGAAGAAACGTTGCGGATAGTGATCAACGCAGATGTTCTAACGTAGGCTTCTCCAGCAGCACGAAGCCGAGTCCTCGTCCCGATAATTATTTCATTGACGGTGAATTCCTCTCCGGCAAAGTCTTTCCTCTCCCACCGTCTTTCAAGATAGTTCACAATGACCGACCTTTATCTGGCTTGGAGAGTGGCCAGGCCGATATCTTTCATGAGCAAGAATGCAGGAATGAACTAATTGTCTCCTGCAAACTCCACTCCCCTTTCACTCCTCTTTTATTCCCTCTTGGAGGGGCCCTTCATCGTCGACCTGTGGCCTTACTCCTGAGTCGACCCTTGTTCTTTAGCTGTTCCCTTCGTCTGGCAACTGTGCATGTGCACCCTGGGAACAGGCTCCAGCTGTTCCTCTGCCTCACTGATGTCCGACTCCGAAGGCAGCTGATAACTGTCAGACAGCCCTGGCCCCCTCTCTGCCTTCCCCAGACTCCAGGACTGGCCCATGTTCCTCCCCAACCTCCTCACCATCCGAATCTGCTGCCAGATTCGCTGGCGCTGGCGGGCCACAACAGCAGACTGCAGAAGTGGCCCTCTGCAAAGCAGGGTCTCTGTTCAACTGGGGCACTGGCCATGCCCCAAATCTTGCCATTCCCTGGGCACTTGGCCTTGTCCGGATGCCATTCTGCATCATTAAAAACACAGAGTGAGATGAATCTGGGACTGATTCCTGCTTAAAGCTTGCGTTAGGAAGGAGACAAATGGCGTCGCGAGCTTGCTAAAGGTTTATTCGGCCTCAGTTTTCTCGTCTGCGTTATGGGGATAATTTAAATGCGCTGTTTTTCTGCTCCTGCCACTGTTGGGGGTCCTTCCAAAGGGAACCATGTTTTAATCTTTCCCTTGGGGGTCTCCATGGGGGGGGGGGTTGGTTCCTTCCCTATGAGTGATTGGGGCCTGCAATGAATTTGCGACTCCTTCCAGGAATCTTCTAGGCTCCTTAGGAATGGGTGGCCCCAAACTTCTCGTGGCTTCCATAGTTTTAAGGCGCCCCACTTCTCACCTTACGCAGTGATATAAAAATATAGGGTTTTTTTAAATCTTACACCTGGAAGGTTAAAAAAAGGAGTTGTGTCCCTCACAGTCTCGTCTTCAGATTCAAAAATCTGAATATCATATAGAATAGTTGGCTATTTGACAGGAGAATCAAACCCCACATACGTCATCACACTCCCAGGGCTGATTTTATTTTATTTTATTATTTTTTAAAATAATATGTTTTATTAATACATTTTTAAATACAAAGATATATATAAAACTCCATATCTATCTGAACAACGTGTTGTCTGGGTACAATTAGTTTTGAGTAGCGCTATAACAATGATCATGATAATCATAATATACATATCCATATTAATCACAGAGTAATAACACGATTAGCTTATCCAAATTTTCAGTATATCATTACTTACCATCCTTTTAATCTTTTCAGTTTCTAACCTCTGTTTCTGTCAGTTAGCCACTGGTAAAACAAGTCCCATGTTAAGAAGCATTTTGTTTCTTCCTTTTGTTTTAAGTGTTAATCTATCCATCTCAGCACATTCATATATATATATATATAATACTTTTCTAGTCAGGGTTTTTTTCTACGTAGCTCAAGATGTTTGTATTGCCATAGTAGGGTGATATCTCAAATCACCACTCAAATGTCTGATAAAGCCTGAAAGTGATGATTTGAGATATCACCCTACTATGGCAATACAAACATCTTGAGCTACGTAGGAAAAAAACCCTGACTAGAAAAATATTATACATATAAACCTACGAATAAAAGAACAATATATATATATATTGAGCAATATATATATATTGCTTAAAAAAATAAAGGGGACACAAGCAGAAGACATCCGAGATCTGAATGAATGAAATAGCCTTTTTAAATACTTTGTTCGTTACATACAGTAGTTTATACACTGCTCAAACAACTAAAGGGAACACAAAACTACTGTATGTAACCAACAAAGTATTTAATAAGGCTATTTCATTCATTCAGATCTCGGATGTCTTCTGCTTGTGTTCCCTTTATTTTTTTGAGCAGTGTATATATATTTTTTACACTTTCCTCTGCAGGGATCTCTTCGTTTTTCCATTGCTGTTCAAATGCAATTTTTGCTGCTGTTAACACACGTAAAATTAAATATGCATTCCCTTTATTATACTGGCCCAGGGGCTGATTTTAGAGTGGATGGGGAAAGGGATGATGGGCCAGAAAGCCTTTTGGGGTGATACCCACCTTCCCTTTCTTCTGCCTCCCCCCCCCTTTCACAGGTACCCGCTGAGGAAGGCCAGTTACGGCTACTTCCAAGCCATGAGGTTTGCGGTAGAGGAGATCAATAACTCCGCCAGCCTCTTGCCCGGGATCCTGCTGGGCTACGAAATGATGGACATCTGCTACCTCACCAACACCATCCACCCCATCCTGCATTTCCTTGCCGACAACCACTCGACGATCCAAATCGGCAGGAATTGCTCTTTGTACCGCCCCGGGTCATCGCCGTCATCGGTCCTGGTCCATCCCCGGCGGCCATCACGGCGTCTTATATTCTGAGTCACTTTTCTTATCCCGCAGGTGAGTGCGTGTTTCTCTCCAGGAAAAGCAGGAGAGAGGCCTGCCAGGTGTTTTTAACAGGATAAAATAATCACTGTGTCATATTAATCCCCAAATGAAAATTTGAAGCACAATATGGCACAAATTAAGTGGCTTACGCTAACAGGCTAATAACATAAAAGCTGGAAAGGGAAGGGAAGGAAAGGAAAGGAAAGGAAAGGAACAGGAGGAAAGGGGAAGGAAGGAAAGGAAAGGAAGGAGAGGAGGAAAAGGGGAAGGAAGGAAGGAAAGGAAAGGAAGGAAACAGGAGGAAAGGGGGAAGGAAGGAAAGGAAAGGAAGGAAACAGGAGGAAAGGGGAAGAAAGGAAAGGAAGGAAACAGGAGGAAAGGGGAAGGAAGGAAACAGGAGGAAAGGGAAAGGAAGGAAAGGAACAGGAGGAAAGGGGAAGAAAGGAGGAAAGGGGAAGAAAGGAAAGGAAAGGAAGGAAACAGGAGGAAAAGGGAAGGAAGGAAGGAAGAAGAGGGAGGAGGGGATGAAAGGAAGGGGAAACAGGAAAGGGGAAGGAAGGAAGGAAAAGCGGGGGCAGAGGAAGGAAAGAAGGCCATTCATATAATATATTACAGTTATTAACATTTATATTAGAAGGGAGAGAGGGATAAATGGAAGGAAGGAAAGGGAAGGATAAGGGATAGATGGATGGAAGGAAGGAAGCAAGGATAAATGGAGAGAAGGGATGGAGAAATGAAAAGGAAAGAAGGGAGAGAGGGGAAGGAAAGAAAGAAAGAAAGGAGAAGGAGAAGTATAAATTCCCACCTGTATTTTGCCTGATGGTTAGCAAGCTTAGAACAGACCCATCAGCAATTTTTTTTTTTTAATTTGATTTATATGCCACCCTTCTCCAGAGACTCAGGGCGGCTTACAGTGCGTTAAGCAATAGCCTTCATACTTTTGTATATTTTATACAAAGTCAGCTTATTGCCCCCACAAACTGGGTCCTCAATTTACCTACCTTAGAAAGGATGGAAGGCTGAGTCAACCTTGAGCCTGGCGAGATTCAAACTTACTTTAATTGCAGACAGCTGGTGTTATATTACAGTGCCTTTGTCTGCAGAGCTATCCAGGCTCTGGATAAAAGATTTCCTGCTTAACCTGGAATTAAACTTCCTCTCCTCTCCTTTGCTTCAGGTCACCTACAGCTCAACCACGGAAGCTCTCAGCAACCCCCAGATATTCCCCCGTTGCTTTCCGCACCATCCCGAGTGCCGAGCAACAGGTGGCGGTCGTGCTGCGGCTGCTGCGTCACTTCGGGTGGAACTGGTTCATCGTCCTGGCTAGCGATGCCGAGTACTGGCCACCAGAACCTCCAACTGCTGCAGTTCCATGCCCCCCGAGCCTACGTCGCCCTCCAGGAGACTCTTCCGGTTCAGAGAAGGGTTCCCCCAGCTCCGTCCAGGAGAGGATCAGGGGCACGGTGGCCAGGATCCACAGAAGCACAGCCAAGGTTGTGGTAGTCCTCAGCCTGGAGCTTCCTCTCCTGGCCTTCTTTGAAGAAGCCCTGTGCCACCGGCCGGCTGTGGATCGCCGTTGAAGCCTGGGCCACTGACCTGTCCATCGATGGCCTCCGCAACATTTCCAGCCTGGGAAGCGTATTCAGGGTGGCTGTGCAGGATGTCCAAGGATGACGTCCAAGTCAGGGGGTTCTCTGAGGCAAGCGGGGACCCCCGAAGGCCGGTCCCTGGCAGCACGTGCAACTAGGAGTGCCGGGAATGTCTGCCCACCCACTGCTCTACAATAAGAGCCTCTGGCAAATGGGGAACCGCGTGGATTTCAACGTGTACTAAGCCATCTACGTTGTCGCTCACGCCTTGCCTTCCTCTGGTTAGGGTTAGGGAGACAGAGCTGGAAATCAGGTAAGACGGCAAGAGGAGCCCCGTCTTGCTCCACGCGCCCCAAAATAATAAGACCTCCCCGAAAATAAGGCCAAGCGCTTATTTTGGGGTTCAAAAAAAATAAAAAACAGGGTCTTATTTTCGGGGAAACACGGTAAGATTTTCAAACACTTTGCTATCTAGATGTGATGGAAATCCCAGAATTCTCAGGTAGCCAGGAAGTCTGGGGGTTGTGATCCTAACACTCTGGAGGGCCCTGATCTGGGGACCCAGATGTGCCCCCCTGGAGTCCATTTTGAACCTCAATCCCGGTGGTCTTTGGCAGCATCTCCCATCTTAAAATCTCACACCGCCTTCAGGGTTCAAATCCTTCGGCCGACCGAGCAGCATCTAACAAGGGAAATATTGAAATATTTATGATTTGGCTCGCTCCGAAATAGGTAGGTAGCGATTTCTACCCGAGGCCCAGAAAAAAAGGGGGTTTTTGTTTTCCCCCGGGGGTTTCCCCCCCCCCCATTTTTTCCTTTCCCAGCCCCCCCCCCCCCCAAAATCTGTCTACTCTGAGCAGTGCCACCCAGGACAGAAGAAAAAACAGATTGGCTTACTTTCCTGCTGCTTCAAATGCGGTGTGTGCGAAACAGGCAAGTTTCTCAACGACATCTATTCATCTCCGTCCCCTGCCTCTTATCCCCAGAGTTAGGGTGGGGCTTTGCTAGCAGCGGTGGCTCTTCCGTCCCAAGGACCAGCCCATTGATTTCCACTGCTCTCCTCTCCTCTGCCTTCTGTGCATTTGTGTCAGGCACTGGGCCCAGCTGTTCCTCCTCTTTCCCATCAGCCACCTCCAGACCTGGGGCCTGTTGACTTTCCATCTGAGGGCTGACGGACAGCCCAGGCTCCGCCTCTGTCTCTCTCTCTCTGCCAGCTCCATTCCCTCTTCCCCCTTGGAGCTCCCAGGTTGCCCTGATGCTGATCCTAACTCCCACCCCTCCTCCTCCTCCTCCAATTCGGCCTCTGAGGGGCCGGGGGCCGACAGGCCACACAACAGCCTACTGTGTTTCTTTCGCCACAAAAGCCCATCGCCCACAGCCCCTGTGAATTTCCCAGGGTGCGGAAAGCTCCCCTTCGTTCGGAGCCTGCCGAAATTTTAACAAGTGACCAGGGACAACCCTTGACCCCGCAAATGCCATTTTCATTCTTCAGACAAATTTTGAAGATGAATGAAAACAGCAGCAATCTCCTGGCCAAATTGTCCAAAGAGAAGCTAATTGAATTTCCTTCTTCTTTGAGTTTTCTCCAAAAAAAATCCCAAATATTTTGGCCTCCCCAGGACCCAGCAGAGTGGAGAGGCCCATCTCTTGTGTTTCTCTTTCCCCTTAGACAGGTTTACCTGCCAGAAATGCCCCGTCGGCTACCTGGTCCCATCCTGGCCAAGAAGCATGCTTCCCAAAGCTCGTGGTGTACCTTAGAGTGGGACCATCGTGCTGCTTCTCTTCTCCGCCCTCCGCCTCTCGGCCACCTTGGGCACGGTCACCAGCTTTGCCCATCATGCCAACACCCCGGTGGTGAGATTGGCCGGCGGCCGGCTGTGTTTCCTCATGTTGTCTCCTCTCGTTTTGGGCTACGGCAGCGTCTCCTCCTACATCGGGCTCCCCACCAAGCTCTTCCGTCTGATGGGGCCTCGGTTTCACCGTCTGCCTCGCCTGCGCCACCGTCCGTTCCTTCCAGATCCTCTGCGCTTTCAAGATGGCGGCCTGGCTGCCCACCGCCTTCACCGCCTGGTCCATGTCCAAAGGGCATTGGGTCAGTAGTGGGTTCCACTTAACTTTGCTACTGGCTCTGCATGTGCAGAGTGTCCGTGATGACATCCGGGCAGAGCCACCCACTGTCAGCGCTACCGGTTTGCCCGAACCGGGTAGAACTGGTAGAAACCCACTGCTGCAGTGGGTCTTCGTCACCACCGTTTCCGCCCTCAAGGTGGCCATCGTGATACTCCATCTCAGTTACCGCTACCTGAAGCCCGTCAAGGCTGTCCTAATCGGCAGCCCGGCAGAGCGTTTTCTGATGTGTCACACCGACTACCTATCTGCGGTTGTGGTCCACCACCACTTCGACATGGTCCTCTCCTCCTTGTGCTTCTGCTTGGCCTACGCGGGGAAGACGTCGCCAAAGAGCTACAACGAAGCCAAGTTCATCACCGTCATCCTGGTTGGCTACTTCAGCTCCTGGGTGCTGCTTGTCCTGGTCACCACCGTCTCGAAAGGATGGCGGTCGCCATCTTTGAGATGGTCGTCGTCGTCTCCAACCTATTCAGCCTCTCCTTGTGGCCTGCCCCAGCTACGGACCCCAAAGAACGCAGCACACACAAAGTCTGTACAAACCTTAGTTTACTAAATTAAATGGGTTTTTTTTTTCCAAACAAAGGCTGTTAATTAACTTTCTTAACAGCCTACAAGAATCCAAAGAATAAATAATCTTAATCTTACCATGGTTGGCAGAAAGCCCAGAAGCAATTTGCAGAGAACTAAGATCCAGGTATGAAGGACAGTGAACTAAGTTGTTCCTTGCAAATTGCTTCAGTCAGCGTTCCTCCTTAAATAGGCTAAGGGAGTGGCCAATTAGCCCCAAGCCTTACTCTCGAGGAGACCTCTTCCTGAGGAGCCACTCCTGCCTTTTGGCCGTTCTGCGCGCCCGTGCATCAAGAAGAGGCTCCTTCTTTTTGTCCTCTTCACTTAAGGGAGCTTCTGGAGGTTCTGAAGGCCCTGGCTGAATCCCCGCCTCTGCCACCAATCTTCTCCAGCCTCCTCATTGTCTGACTCGGGCGCCAGCTGCACAGGCTGCTGGCGCAGCACCACACCAGCCTCCTCGCTGTCCGAATCAGCCACAGGCCGCATACGGGCCACAACACTAGGTCTTCTTTGGGCCCAAGTGTTACATCATCTACGTCCACCCAGAACGTAACACACCGTCATTCTTCCAGGCAGCCGTTCAGAGCTACACCATGGACCAGGGCTAACAGCATCCTCTGCCCCACTCATTCCTCCGCCCCACAACTCCAACCTCTTCCCTTCGTGTCGCACTGATTTAGCCAACCCAGATCTATCGTGGTTAGCCAGTCACAGAACAGGCCCCTGATTAATAATTCATAGCAATGTTTTTTTTAATGCTTCTCCTCTGGACAATTTATACCTGTGGCTCCTGTTACAGGGAGTCCTCGATTTACGACCACAATCGACCCCACCATTTCTGTCACTTGAGCGAGACCATTGTGAGTTTTCGCCCCATTTTACGACTTTTCTTGCCACATTTCTTCAGTGAATCACTGAAGTCATTAAACACAGTTAAGTGAACTCGGTTTCCCCGTTGACTTTGCTTGTCAGAAGGTCACAGAAGGGGACCCCCAGGACACTGACCGTCATAAATGTGAGTCCGTTATTGACTTTGCTTTTCAGAAGGTCCCAAAAAGGGACCCCGGGACACTGAATGTCATAAATATGAGTCAGTTGCCAAACGTCTGGATTTTGATCACGTGACCACAGGGATGCTGCAACAGTCGTTAAGTGTGAAAAGCGGTCATAAGTCACTGTTTTCAGTGTGTAACCTCAAATGGTCGCTAAAGGAACTGTTGTAAGTCGACGATTTGCCTGTAACACCGTCATCACTCCTTGCGTTGGATTTTCTTTTGCAATCTTTAAATTTGTATTGCGGGTGTAATAAAAAGCTTGTTTTATTGTACTTTTAATATTAAATTTGCCGTTATTTTTTTTTTTTTCACTTTGACTGTTATTCCCCTCCCCCCCCTCTAGTATGTCAACTTTCACATCATTTTTTTTACCTCCACTGTATTTGGTTGTGAGTTTTTTCCCATGTAATTTTTCTGCTCGGGCTAAGACGCCGAGCTTGTCAATCGAAAGGTCGGCAGTTCAGCGGTTCGAGTGCCGCGTAACGGGGGGAGCTCCCGTGACTTGTCCCAGCTTCTGCCAACCTAGCAGCTCGAAAGCACGTAAAAAAAAAATGCAAGTAGAAAAATAGGGACCACCTTTGGTGGGAAGGGAACAGCGTTCCGTGCTCCTTTGGCGTTGAGTCACGCCGGCCACATGACCACGGAGACGTCTTCGGACAGCGCTGGCTCTTCAGCTTTGAAACGGAGATGAGCACCGCCCTCTAGAGTCGGGAACGACTAGCACATCTGTGCGAGGGGAAACTTTACCTTACCTTAATTTTTCTGCTCACTGTAATTTGACTATTTTTTATCATATTTTTTTACTTCTATTGTGGACTGCCACGCACATAACGGCAGAGTTTAAAATGCTGGCTTTCTCCTGACTTTTAAACCCAGAACTGGCGATGGTTTTATTTTAATTTCTTTTTATGTGGTGGCATACTTTCTCCCCCCCCCCCTTTTTTTTTTTTTTTTAATCTCGCATTGTCCTTTTATTGCCCGTTGGATTGCCCTGCCCGGAGGAGGGTCAGCCACAAAGAGCCAAGGAAACAGAGCTAAAAGAATAAATAAACACCAACCTCGTGCCAGGCTGGCCCCAACTGCCCAAATAATAATATTTAATAAATCAAAATAACGGCTGTTCCCTTTAAGTGGCTGTTCCACTCCAGGGGCTAATAATTCCTTAATTGCCCCCACCTGGGCCATGGAGGGAACCTGCTGAGGGAAGACATGGCCGCAGGCGCTTCTCAGGGGCTGTGAGGAGAAATTAGGAGGTCCCAATTGGGCCTAGTGACCCCCCAAGCCCTCCCAGGACTGAACTCCCAGCTGAGGAGCCCCCTGGCCCAGGTGAGTCCCTTCAGAGACCCCCTTTCCTGCCTCTGGGGAGGGGGCACATTGGGCAGGGCTGCTGGGGAAGATGGAAGAGGTAGTTCTAAGCCCTTGGTAAACTGAGGGGTGGGGGGGGCAGGGAGCGGTGTGGTCCCTCAGCTTATAACGTATAACAGTAACAGAGTCGGAAGGGACCTTGAGGGTCATCTAGTCCAACCCCCTGCTCACGCAGGAGACCTAGACTAGGGATTCAAACTCAGCGTCTTGCTTTCTCCCTCCCTCATTCACCCACCCATCTTCCTTCCTTCCTTCCTTTCTTCCCTCCCTCCTTTCTTTCCTCCCTCATTCACCCACCCACCTTCCTTCCTTCCTTCCTTCCTTCTTTCCTTCCTCTCATTCACCCACCCTTCCTTCCTTCCCTCCCTCCTTTTCTTTCCTCCCTCATTCACCCACCCACCCACCTTCCTTCCTTCCTTCCTTCTTTCCTTCCTCTCATTCACCCACCCACCCACCTTCCTTCCTTCCTTGCTTCCTTTCTTCCCTCCCACCTTTTTTCCTCCCTCATTCACCCACCCACCCTCCTTCCTTCCTTCCTTCCTCATTTACCCACCCATCTTCCTCCTTCCCTCCCTCCCTCCCTCCCTCCTTTCTTTCCTCCCTCTCATTCACCCACCCACCCATCTTCCTTCCTTCCTTCCTTCCTTCCTCTCATTCACCTCCATGTTTGGGGGGAGGGGCCTGTGGGGTTGGGGGGTTGTTGCTGTGAGGGGGGACAATTGCAGGAAATGCAAACACACAGCAGAGATTTGTGTGCAGGAAAGAGCAGAAATTTCCCCCCAAATTTGGCCGAGGGGGCTTCTCAGCTCCTTAAATTGTAATTTAGGAATAAAAAGAAGCTTTTTTTTTTTTCCTTTTCATGGAAGAAGACCAATTTGGTTTTTAATCATTTTTAATGCATTTATTAACTCTTTCCAGCACTGCTGTAGCCAGAGTCACCTGTGGATATAAACAGGTTTAATAAACAAAAAATAGTGTTTGTTTTTGGGTTTGTTTGTTTTTTTAAAATGGATGCCAGTCATTTGCCAAAAATGGCAGCGAGTTGGAAGGATATTTGGATATTTTTGATACATTTTTTGGGGAGGTCAAAATGTTGACAACCTTCTTTTCTTTCCAAGTCTTTCAGACCTGTAGATGATTATGATTATTATTTTCTTACCCACTCAGAATGAGATTCAGTTTTTAAAAAACACTTTTCTTTCTTTTCTTTTTTTTTTGCAAAAAATAAAATGGAGAGAACAACTTAAAAATCTGGCTTTGCCCTCTCCAATTTAGGGATTAAATGTCCCCAAATTATTTTAAGGGAAAACGAACTGAGGTGCAAAAAAAAAACAAAAAAAAACGGTCGATATTTATTGATGTGTGAATTGCTATGATATTATTTGGCTTGAATGGGAATGATATGCTCTTTTAAGGTGCATAATTTGGAACTGTGGAGAATTTGGCTTGGCTTTTTCCAAAGGAAAAAAAGAGCAGTATGTTCAAAATTTAAATATACTGAAAACTTGACCTTTATTACATTCCTAATATGTAATATTTTTGTATTGCTTTTCCCTCAGTATAATAAAGGTGTGTGTGTTTTTTTTAATCATTTTAAAAGGAGAAACAGGCACGCCACACAGCTGTGGCAAAATCTGCCCAATGGAATGCTGGGAAATGTAGTTTGGCCCCACCCAAAAGGACTACAAATTCCCCCAGCAGCCTCCATTAATTCTGACTGGGGAATTCTGGGAGTTGAAGTCCACACCTCTTAAAAACTGCCCAGGTTGGTTTAATCTTGGTTAAAGATTCATTTTTAATCTTGCCTTGGTTTAATCTTCTAGGTCTAGGAATCCCTGCGCAGTTTAGAGCCAGGAGCCAGGCCACTGAGGATCAGCAGAGCCTCTCTGTTTAGGAGCAGTCTATCATTAAGCTCTCGAGAAAAGAGGGAACAAGCAGTGGGATTTCCTTACTGGCCATCTTTCATGCAACTCTGGAAAAACAGGGATTCATTGCCAGCCTGGAAATGCTTTGGTGCTTCCCCGGAGGGCTTATCAGCAAGCTAGCAAAACAGGCAGTAGAGCCTCCAGGTTGAGGAGTAGTCTATTTTTACCTGCCCAATGTGTTCTGATTTTATTTTATTTCTTTGTCAGCCCTTTTGCTAACAATGCAGGAGCTTGCCTGCCTCTGGGCAGGGTGGCCAACCTGGCAGGGTCGATGTTGTGGTTTTTTTGGCCCATTTTATGCGTTTTTTTGCGCATTTTCCCTTCTTTCAGGAACGCCCCCCCCCAAATGCATGGCTTTCTCGCAGTAAATGCTTTCCTCCCCCATATCCCAGAATAGGCCTTTAACATTCTCTTTGAGGGTTACCGTTCCCCCCCCGCCCTAAATAATCTGGAAATAAATCTAATTTGAGGAACCTCACTATTGTGAGTTTACAAAAGGCCGCTACCAGAAATGACCAGCAGATGGTGCTGTTTCACTCACCCTGCAATAATTCGGATACAAACAGATTTATTTTCGTGGAAAACATGACCGAATTCTTTAGGATTGGCATAGATTTTGCTCGCTTACAACCACGCGGCCATTACAACAACCCTGTTAGGTGGCACAAGCACCAGAGGGCCTGTAAATAAGCATTTAAGCTGTGCTTCAGGCCATTTAACATCCTCCTTTTCCTTTTCTCCAGCATTAACAATTCTAGTTTGCTGATTTTCGAAACAAGGGCAAATTTAGCACCCAGTTCTCACCTTTGGCAGATGAGATCTTTTCCATAACTCGTGAACAGAAAATTGTGCATTTGGGATTTCCTTCCTTCCATCCTTCCTCTCTCTTTTCTCTGTTTCTCTCTCTGTTTCTCCCTCTCTTCCTCTTACTTCTGTCCATCCATTGTATCTCTCCTTCCTTCCTGCCTTCCTTCCTTCCTTCCTTCCTTCCTTTCATCCATCCATCATATATCTCCATATATAT